CTGGCTGCATCAAAAACCTCATGTTGATAAATTAATAATTGATTGAAGCTATTTTCACTGCCGGAAAGAATATTTCACTTGAATTTAACATAAAATATCAATTGAAGTTAAGTTAGTTAGTTCTTTTTCAACTTCCAACTATGTATTTTATATTTAACAACTTAACATAACTTCACTTTAGAAAGCAATAATCATTTTCAATATGAGCACTGGGTAAAAATGTTATTGTTTAACATTTTTAAACACTAGATCTAAACATTTCTTTAACAATAGTTAATGACCAAACACTTTTTAACAATTGCAGATTAGTTTTGTTTGCCTAAAAACGGAAACTGAAATAATATTGAAGCTAACGTAGCGGAAGCGATGACAGATACAGGGCGGTGATTACTAAACAAATTTTTTTAAAGTTAATTGCAAAATTAAATTTACAATGCACAGGAACAATGTGATTTAATCATTTGCAAATATCAGATTTAAAAAACGATACAATATTTGTTGTAATGCTATTATGTTGTAATATACATACATATGTAAATGTAATATGCCTTTGAGAAAATATTTGATTCGGACCATTTTTAACAATTTCCTTAAAATTTTCTTATTATTATTCAAAAAATCATTCAAGTTAACTTATATTTAAGGTTTAATCACTATTTTGTTAATTAATTAAAAAACATAATTAAATATTTTTTCAAAATTTACAAACGATTACTTATTACGCTTCATAACTCTATTAGAACGGTGTTTAAATATATGCCACTTTAATATTATTTATTTTTCATTTATATAATAATAAATTATATCTGCCTAATCATGTACAAAATTAAATCTCTACCGTTCAATAACAATAATATATTTCCGAAACGTGAAGCACCCGGTGTCCAGCTTAACTTCCGCTCTTTATTGTATTTTGTATTTTAATATTATTAAATAGTGAAAATTTACAATTGGCATTAAATACAGTTACAGATATTTAAATAAAGTATATCTAAACATATTTGTATTAATAACCAAAAATATTTCCGGCCATTGCATGCATGCAGTAGTGTACAGTTTGTGAGAGCGTCGCGCGTGTGCATACGTTTTTTAAATAGTTAATTTCTAACAAAAAAGACTATTTTTTGAAATTTTTTGTAAATTAAACAATTTGCAATAATATTTTAAGTGTGAAATAAGCTAAACATTTGTCCCGGCGGTGATGTAACATAGAAAATCGGATTGAGTTCTTCCGAAGGTACATTGTTCGTAAGTGGCCGCAAGTGTTGTATGAAAGGTATACCTACACGTAAGTCCATATACGAGTGTTTAAAGTAATGAAAGCATTTATTAGGCAAAAGCTTAAGTAAAAAATTATATTCGACATAAATATATAGCATTTAAAGAAAATATTAAATACTTATTGCTTTATATTTGTTCTAACTTACCTAAGTGGTTACATGTTTACCGCTCAACGCAAATATGCCGGCAGCCTGCTAACCTTTAACTTTATTAAAGTCAAATACAAGTAAAAACTTTAAGTACATATGCCAGAAATACGCTACTACTTACTAGCAAAATGTGAATAGTATGGAAAACTTTCTAATTTACAAGTTATTAGATTTTGCGCAGCTAAATTGCTGCGGGAATTGTAGGGCGGAAAGTTTGTGATGCCAGCATGAGTTTTCTACTCGTATGTAAACTTACTTAGACGAATCATAGATATATATGTATGTATGCATGCACATATCGGTTTCCTAAATTTATTAAATATATAAAACCATGTGTATGTATCTACATAGCTCTAGATATCGCTATAACAAATTTATTAAGTAAATTTTGCCATGCAGTAGGCAAAGTAGTTCTACGGTGTGTAAGTTTTAGTAGAGGGAGACTCATCATTCATATTCAATAAACTCATGAAAGATAAAAAGAAGACAGGAACAGCATAACATAAGCAATGTATGTAATATATATAATAAAACTATGAGTTCATTTGTGTGCTTCAAGGATTCTGGTATGCAGCGGCAGCTAATTTAATTATCTATGCAGTTGTGTAGTCGTGAGCAAAAGTGAGTAGTTTGTGAACTATTAAATTGTGGCTCCTTTGGCATTTTATCACTGGTTTTACTTGATTTTTATATAAACTTTTATATACAGCATTTAACATAAATTTCAGTGAATTTGATGTATTTGATGTAAACGTAGATTATATGTAAAATGCTTTTAAATTTATCTGCGGACATATTGTACATAAAATTAGAAACGTAAATTTCAGTTTTGCACAAAATGCAAGTACACTGAAAATTTCTTTTTTCCAACGAGTATTTCTGTATATAGATATGTGTTTTAAATATTATACCTTTAAATTGACAATGAAATCAGCAGCGAATGCGTATTACCTTTGTTGTTCGTCAGACCGGAAGTGCTTAAAAATGTATGAATGTAGTTAACATACAAAGGAGGCGCGCGTATCTTTTGCTTTTGTTAAAATCACTGGAAAACTCAGCACTTAATATTTTATTAGTACTAAAGCAATTTTATTAATGTAGATAATTATTAAATACTTAGTGAAATATGTAAAAATCGAGAAATTTATGAACATTTAAAAAAAAAAGTTAGGTTAGGTACGTTCAGAAGGCTGTGTTAACTTTTAACAAACTGTGTTTTTTCATTTTAGCAAGAGGCATAAATTTATTTTTTTTAACATAAAATGTTTTCAAACACACATCAACTAAAAAAATTCCGCCAATTGGTTTTTATCACAAAGTAAAGTTTTCAAAACTTTTCCTTTTTTACAAACTACAAACTTTTCACCTCAGCTGAGTAGTTGTAGAAACAATAAATTCGTCTGATGATGTCCATTTTTTGGCATTTTTCATGCGGCGCCAAAAAAAAAAATAAAATATTATTTAAACTCACTAACAATTCCAGGCAGGCACAGCAGAGGTCCTGCATAGAAATATTTTGCTAGTTAGATAGGCATGTAGATATGTTACATACATATATACATACATATGTTTATCCCCATGACGGCTGTCAAATGTAAATACCTCACCACAAAATGTCTGTTGGCCTAAACAAAACGAGCCAACAAATAATCACAAATATATAAATATGTCTGTATATAAGTTTATACAATAAATTGCCGTCAATGTAGACGAAGAAAAATGCGTTTATTGCAGTAATCTCTAAGGAAATTTGTGTCGTGCGAGTGCAAAAAATAAAATCATGAAAAATATTTACAAAAATAAAGAGCAAGAAATGAGCATTTTCTACCTTTTTTTTACAAATTTATAAAAAATGCTTAATTTCGACACGTATCCTGTGACAGGACAATTAATACAGGGTAGGCCAAAGATGACTAAGCAAAAAAATATTATTTTATTGTTTGATACATTCAGATATAACATTATCTTAAAGTTATCGATTTTTTATTTTTATCGGCGATTATCTCAATTAGTGACACGAACTAATTTTTAAAGAATGCATTTATATATGTTTCGAGGCTCTTGTGCTGTGACTCGTGAACACCAAAAAGGTAGAAAATAATAAAATTCGAGTAGTTTCTCACACAACAAATATTGATAAAAGAAAAGTTAGCAAACTGCCCAAAATTTGTGTTTATAATTTGATCCACCCTGTACAATAAAACAAGCATCCGCGTAGCTGGAAAGAGGCGGTTGTCTGAACGAGTACCATGTTGTGTGGTGGCTTCTGGCTAATCCTGTAAATTTGTTAGTGAACAACCACTGTCCACCTATACGACAAGTGAAATGATTAATGTTGGGCAAAACTTTTTAACAGTTGCGAAAATGAAAATGAAATAAAGCAAAAATAAAAAACGAAAAAATTAGCAAATAATGTGAGTTGGCAATTTTTTAGGGCGAAAATGTTGCTCCGCCCATCGCTTAAGCCGACGAAGACCTTTGCCAGCTGCGCAACGCGTAAATGATTTTCAGATTAAACCTAGCTGTCATGAACGTGCTAAGAATTTCATTTGTTTCTTGGCAATGAATTTTGATAGAATTTCATCATTTCAACAAATCTAATGCAGCAGTAGCAGCACACGGCTAATGTACCGGATATGCAGCATATGTGTGTATGTGTATGTTTTTTTGTAGCGGAAATCAGCAATCAGCTACATACATATATATTTGTAAATGATAATAGTGAAGTGTTTCGTTTCACGTTGCACTTGAATTTGCCGTTAGTTTAACATCTCGTTAACCGAAGTTGCGCTGTCTCACACTCGCGCCTACTCGCCCGTTTCTCACACCAATCGTTTTATCCATTATATCAAGTATCCGTTTTTAATTTCTGGTCAAAGCAATTGCACTCCAGGGAGTGATAACGTCGAGTACCCACTCTTAACACACACACATACACTCACACAACGAATCACTAAGGCTAAGGCATAGCATCGGTAGCCGTCTTGATATTCGCTGCACACCATCTTGACTTCTGACATTTGATTTCGACAGCTCGTTTATATTTGCTTTTTTCTTCGTTTTTATTTTTATTTTTGCCTACCCATCGTAGGCAGCTTCGCATTATTGCAACTAATTTGCTATCCAATTGCATATCGCGGGTGGAGAGACAGGGTGAAAAAGTGAAATAAAAAAATGAAAAGTTATCAATGTATGAAATTAAAAGTGCGATGCCGAGTGAAATCGGAAACATAAAATTTCGTTTGAATTGCTAGCTGAAAATACGAAGTGGGAATACTAAATACGGCTTTATTATAGAATTCTCTTACAATTATAATAAAATCGTATAAAATTACAATTAAATTGTGATATGAGTAAAAGTGGGAGAAAAAAAGTGAAATTATGTAACAATCAGCCGATTGCGGACTGTAGTAACAACTATCGAATCTGAGTTGTAATCGATTACAATAAAGGCGTTGGATTACCCAAAGGTCAAATTATGCAGGGTTATAGAGTGCAGCTAGAAATTAAACGCCTTTTTTTTGAAGATAAGTTAACTTGTATTTAGCTCAGACTCGTTTAATTAAATATTATACAACATACTTAAAATTAATAAGGCACTCCATAATTCATAGCTTAAGCGTAATATTAAACAATAAAAATTCACAAATACAAAGATTTAATAAAGTATCACTAAATTTTAACTTAATACTTAACAAATTCATCAGAATAAATTCAACCGAAATATTCACAGAGTGAAATTTTTTTAACTTTAACTTTTATAATCTGATTCCTTCTCCTCTTCATCAATACGCGGCTTCTCATTCTCTTTTGTGACCTTCGCATGCAGGAACTCCAACTCTTTTGGATCGATAACTAACTGCGCGCGTTTCGGTGAATTCCAGTCTTGTAGTGTCGAATCGGCAAACAGTACATAGAGCACACCACTGCCAATCAACATGCCCGCACAGAGCAAAAATACATTACGCCAAGCTTCAACGGTTTGCTGTCAAAAAAATAATGGTATATACATTTATAAATAGGTGAGAAAGTATATCTTCCAAACCACAAGCACTTACATTGTTCAGCGTCATTATGCCCACAATATAGGATGATATAAAACCGGGCAGAACGCCAATCATTCCGCTAATTCCCAGTACTATGCCCGCATAATTAGGCGACATATCAACAATGGACGCGAGTGGACCTGAAGACACCGCGCCGTGAAACATTAAGGCCAAAGTGAGGAACACAATCGCCGCCAAAGCATTATAGCCAAATATGGCAAGACATATTACCATCGAGCCATTCACAATGCAACCTATGATCAAAGTGAAAGAGAATATTTGAGTTTCAATACCTTGAAATCATACAACGTCGCACTTACAAATGCCTGTTGCCAATTTTCGCAAATTTGTACGTTTAATTTTATCGGTACGCAGCAAATAGTCCGCAAACATCGAAAAGGCCAAAGCGAATAGCATGCGCATTAAATGTGGCAAACCGGAAAGTATACCGGTCTACAGGGATAAAGAAGAATAAAAGAAAAAATATTGTTTAATACTAAAATTCCATAAAAATCAATCAAATTTTACACACCGCTCTGATATTCCAATGATGTATAACACGGAAATATGTCGGCGCTTGTGTCATCATTGTGAATAGACCCCAAATGCCGCCCCACTGCGCAATCACATTCATCCACACTGCACGTGAGGTGAGTATTCGGCGCCAAGGTGTCGGTCCTAAATCGTCATGATGTACCGATGCACCCAAAGATTTCTCAATATAACGCTGTTCAGAGATATCAATACGTGGATGCTCCGCTGGTGTGTTGTAGACGAAGTATAGCCAACAAAACCACCAAGCTGTGCCAATAATGCCGCACATCAAATAAACCCATTCCCAAGAAGTCCAATGCATAACATAACCGAAAATGGGATAGAAAGCCGCGACACCAACCGAACTACCCAAGTAGGCGGTAACGAATTTGCTACGCTCATTTGGCGGTATCCATTTAGCAGTCATGTGATGCATAGCTGGCCATGACAAACCCTAAAAAGAAGAGTACAGAGAAAGCAAAAAAAATGTTTTTTTTTAGTATATTTACGAAATTCAAACTTCATTTGACTCACCGTTACAAGACCTTGCAGTATTCGCAGCCAGATAAGCACTTGATAATTCCAATACGACGCCAACGGTATGACGAAACAAATCCAACAACCGACAGCGTTCGATAGGCCAAAAACCAATTTCGTACCATATTTCTTAGCTAAAATACCGCCAGGAATTTGTGTAAGCCAATGTGCCCAATAAAATGAGCCTAAAACTAGACCTTGCTGATATTCATTCCAAGCGAAACCATCCGCTTCATACGGTATCTGTGCGTGTGGAGTAATAAAAAAGATCAAATACCGTTATTTGGTGAGAAGATTAGTTGAGTAAATGATAACTTAAACACAAATATGACTGTAAAACATATTTATTATACACGTACATACATACATGCCTAGGCTTCGCGTGCTTTTGAGTGACTAAATGGACATATTGTTTGCTCATGTTTTCATTTTAAACACACAAAATATTTAAATATACTTACGAATATCTTCATAACAAGGGATCATTAGATGTCTAATCTGAATTCGGTAATTAAATAGTATATTTACTCAAAGCTATATACAAATGTATATAGATGACTTTCAGATGACTTACTAAGATGTGAAAATTCCCTAATTTTATTATTTATGTATATGTTTGAGTAAAAGTCATCCTACTGCATTTGTATTTTAATTTTTAATTCTTAATTTTTCTTTTCTCAGTATCAGAAAATGGAAGTATGGCCATGCCCCGCTATATTGATTGCTCCTATAAACTTCGTATCAAGAAGATCATACAGGTGCTTGCATGGTCGATTATGAGAATAGGAATATAAAGGAAGAAGGTAATCAATTTAAGGTTTAAAACCAGGTTTCGCATGGTCAGGTGAGTATCAACAACTAGTATAAGTATAAATAAAATGAAAATACTTAACTATCAGAAGTGGAATATAATGAAAGAAGGTAATCAAGTTAAGTTTATAAAAACGGAGAGAGTAAATTTATTTTCGAGAATGGCGCAAATGACAAATTTTCTCTGCAAAGAAGACTCTGCAGACACTATTGTTGAAAACTTCCAGTTTGCGCTCGTTAGCTGTAATATAACAAATACTAAGAGTTCACTGGCATAATAATATCCTCTTTTATTTTAATAATCATACAAATTACATTATTTATAATGCCAAACAGATTGTTAAGTCCACCCACAACTAAACGTATTCCCTGTGCCATATGTCACGAGCATCACGAATGCAACTGATTAAGCAAATCACACGTATTTTTTGATAAGAAATCAACAGTTGAAGTACTTAAACTACTACCGACTGGTTGCTTAATCTGATTGAAAAAAATAATTAAGAAAGTCTAGTGATTTTGATAAGGAGAATTAAAGGAATTCATTTGAAAAAGCGATAAAATAAGATGTGTAGATACAAAATACCATGAAAATCAGTACTCAAATGCTTATCTGAATTTTTTTTCACTTAGTAAACGCTGGCGAAAATTAGTACGTTCAGCGAGCAATAGTTAGACGATAGGAAAATCATTTGTTAAATTTCCTTTGATAGACAAAATAAATATTAATTAGTAAAATGTCCCTATTATATACATAACTTTCCATACAATAGTCAGAGTCATAGTAGTTTACAGTTAGTTGCACAGCTGTGTAAAGCAGTTGCATTGCATTATCAAAGATTCCGTAATGCTTACTGTGTGCAAACATATTTACAAAATCATTAATTACTCATTATAAATAGAAATAATGTGTGTATACTTGATACATATTTACAGCTAAAGTTAGACGTATTAACAAAAGTACTAAACAATACTTTGTTCATTAGTGCTTATAATTTTCATCTCTTTTAAATTTAAAATTCACGCCTTTAATAAATAAACAGCGATGATACCAGTTGGGAAAATTCAGTGGAAAATTCAGAGGATGCTAAAACAAAAACTTTACATTAATTTTTTTTTTTTTGCTAGTTTGACTCACCATTAAAAATATTGAATTGGTCAATCGCAAAAACAATTTAATTTTATTGTCTGCCCTGTTAATTAATTTATGAGTCTATTCACTTCTTTTGAAAATACCTTTACAACCAAATGAAAGTAAAATTTTGATAACAAAATATCTTTTTTAGCGCATAGTTACCGTCTAATTAGTGTTGTACATATGTTTTATCGAATTTTAATTATTTGTTTTGACAATATGCTTTGTTATCAATGATATGCTTTTGACGTGCGCACGTTTTCGATTAGAATCTCATCATGAAAAATAATCATTGTATTGGTTGGGTAATAGATTTTTTAAAATAAACCAATTTGAATGCCAAATCGAACTAAATTACTTATTATACTGACGTGCGCACTTCGTTTCAATAAAATTTATGATTTTTTTTTTTTCAAACCAATAATCAGTTGTAGGTATCTCGTTGTATCGTGACCGATAGAGAGAGTGGCAACTCAAGCGAAGTGCCCAAATATTCATAAATGCCAATAAATTGTTACCTGGAATTAATTTTCGCAAAAATGTTTAGCCAAATTCATATGTATGACGAAAGGCAACGCTACAAACTTTCAAATTACTCATTACATCCGCGCTTAGACCAAGTATACTCTGAGTAGCTAAGATGCGATCTTTTAGAAGGCAGCTAAAATAAGAAGATGAACTAATGAAAGAAAATAATAAGAGCAAAATCTACTGATAAATTCCACTCATGGGTATTAATGGTTATCCCGGAAGACTTTAACTGCATAAACCCTCAAAACATATTAAAAAAAAACAGTTTTAGAGAATAGAAATTTGGAAGTTTTATCAAAGTTAAGCCCCGTTCAAAGCTCTAGCTTGGAGCAAACCAAAGCTGGAAAATTTAGCACTAAGTACTAGGGCATTGTGTTGGATAGCCAGTCGTCATAAAGACTCAATATAGAGGAGCGAGTGAAGAGGCATCATCAATCCTACCAGCATACACATAAAACGATGTTGAGCGCTTGGACTCTCTCACCGCTCTCTCACACTGAATATTCCTTGTAATTGTCAGGCCAACACTTTTCGACGGTGTTTTAATATGGAAAAATAGCATATCGGAATTGGCTGGAGGGGGTCTTCGGATTTTCAATGATCAGCATCTCTGAGGCACTCATAACAACACTATCTGTGGCGCTTTATTCTAAGCAAATCTAGTAGTTAAAAAGGAGGCATTCCTAACTGCTGCGAGGCAATACCATTTTAGGCAGCTGAACATCGGTACATACAATATGTACGTACACAAAGAAGTGAAGCAAATGCAAGAAATAATCTTGCTCCGTCAGACGAATAGAATTTGAAATAGAGCTAAGACTATGCTAAGGTGATGCTTATGATGCTAAACTTAAAAGTTTTTGTCAGCGGTAAGAAGGCCGGATTTCAGGCCTTATCGCAGCATGATCACTTGGCATTGTATGTCTTTAATCGAAGGACTGATAAAAGATGACAAGTGCAGGGGACAAGAACACCAATGTACTTCAAACAAGAGATACAGTAAATATTGAAGCCACGTCACCTTTAAGAGTATGCTGAAAACTAGTTGCAAAATCATAGATATTAACACTCAAAATACCCGATCGGATGTACAAAATAACAGTAAAAACGAATGTAATATGCCCACAGAAGATAACCCTATTAACAATGATGATTAGGTTAATGGAGAAAAAAGTTGTAATAAGATCAGTTGCACATAGGGAAAGAAGCTAAATAAGCCACACTCACAGCTGTGGTACACAGATGGGTGAAAGACTGCAAATGGCAAGGCTCTGTAGCCACACATAACCAGATACCCCAACTTAATCCAAGCAGAAGTGATCGTCATTTTCTCATGCACAGAAATAATACTTAAAAGAAGCACAAAAAGGCAACATTGTATTGTAAACTGTCAGGAAACTAAATGAAGACCAAAGCCCCTATTTTGGATGGACCCGCTTACTATGCCAATGAGCCGAGACCTAAATAAAAAATTGTAAGAGAGAGAGAGAGAGAGAGAGATGTTGACATAATAGCAATGGCATAAAACAAACCAAACAGAATGACCTAAAAAGACTAACAGGTTTCCTTACAGACCACTAGAGGCTACTCAATCTTCTTCTTCTTCTGCACTGTGTGAGTCGGTTTTATGAGTTGAAACGTGAAGCAATGGTTCATAGATTGCTAGAGTGCTCAGCTGTTGCTAGAAGCAGGTTAAGCATCTAGACACGATGCGGGTTTTTAAAGCCTTATGGCTGTACAGTGTAAGGTGTTAAAAGTCAGAGGACAAAGTAGATCCATCCTCCCACACATCTAACTCCTTATCTAACTAACTGAATTCAGCTAACTCAAACTGCTAGTAATAACAACTGCGATATAAATTCGTCTCGATCACGTGCGTGACCAACCTATCTGTCCATTCGTTATACTTACACCCAACGCATTGAGCAATTGTCTCTCCCACGTATAACGCTGCTCCTTCGCCACCTCCTGCAGCACCTTAACGCCACCAACATCAACATTGCTGCTATGATTACGAGCATTCACGCTCACAGCCAAATTATTACTACTTAAATTTGCATTAATACTGTTATTGTTGGCTGACGCCAAATGCATATGACTGTCGTTGAGTAAATGATTTTGTGTAAAATTTGTTAACGCCGGCGCTTGTGTGGTGACGACCGCCGTCAATGTCGGCTTAGTGGCGATCATTTCGACGATCGTTATATTAAGATTTATGCGAATCATGTAATTCACGGCGAAGCCGATGAAAACCAAATACCAGAGCACGGTGCGGGCCTGAACTGTAAGGAGAAATGTAAGGGTGGGTGGGTTTAAGTGTTACATATATATATACATTTTATAATTAATTAATAGTTTGTAAACGAAATGCAAATTAATCGGTGTTACATTTTCACAAGTTGGAGAAAATTATTAATATTTTAATTGCGCAGCTTGTCAACAGGTAATTACACAAAAAAAATGATAAATAGAGATATATTGTAAAAGGGCTCACCTTACCAGCTGTTTCTTGTTAAATATTTCCAACTTTTTTTCGAGTTTTTTAATTTTTACAACAAAATTATCATATAATAATAAAAAAAAAACATTGTTTATTGAAAAATAAAAAAAAGTAATAAATTATTTGCATATAAATTATCAATATATATTTAAACAACCTGGTTCGTTTAATAAAAAAAATTTAAACTATCTTTAGTAAATATAATACCTCAGCTTATTGATTTAATTACACAAATAACCAATAAGTATTATATACATATGCATGTTTATTTATTTACGTAATGTTACTAACCGATAAATTATCACTAACAACTTATATTTAGCGAAAAGAAGAAGAAAGAACCTTTATCGTATCACGTGTACACATAAACACACATATGTACGTATATAAACACAAATTCATTCTCATATCATCATTAGCTTATAGTAAGTAAGCGAAAAATAATGCAATTCTAATATATTATATATAACCACATAGCATAAATATGTATGTACACCCATACATACATATGTATATACACATTAGCTTGTTGCAAATATGAATGAACTCCCGACTAGTTTTCCATATGTCATTGCCTTGGCCATTGAAAATGTGTACATACATACTCACATACTCGTTGATCAACAGCTGATTCTCTGAATTTTGAGTTGCATTTGCATGTGCTCTCGATTTACATTGATTACTTTTGACTATTCGCATATTTTGGTCATTACCGTAATATAATATCCAGTTTGTTGTTTAATAGTATGTATGTTTGCAATTTTTTCACGCTGTTTTTGTTGTAAAAATAAAGAAAATATTTTCTTGTAAATTGTATGCAAATTTTATCAAATTCGCCGTGCGTTTCGAGTGAATTTCAGATTAATGGATTTCTAGAAAATTTTTTTAGTTTTTCTTGAGAAATCTGTTCGAGTATTATTTTCAATTAAGATGAAAATTATAAGAAATATACGCTGAACTAAAAGTAAAAATTAAACAAAGGTTAATTAAATTATATTGCATTAAATAAATTTATTTAAAATTTATTTAAAATTTATTTAATTAAATTCAAAAAAAAATAAAAATCAATTATATAAAATGAAAATAAATTTAATAAAATACTATAGAATAAAAATAAAGACTAAATGAAATAAAATTAAATAATATAAAAAAGAACAGTAAACTAAACGAAATTGAAAAAAAAAAAAACAAATAACTTAAAAAAAAAATTAAAAATAATAAAATTAATAAAATACTATAGAATAAAAATAAATATTAAGTGAAATAAAATTAAATAATATAAAAAAGAACAGTAAACTAAACGAAATTGAAAAAAAAAAAAACAAATAACTTAAAAAAAAATTAAAAATAATAAAATTAATAAAATACTATAGAATAAAAATAAATATTAAATGAAATAAAATTAAATAATATAAAAAAAGAACAGTAAACTAAAAAAAAATTGAAAAAATACAAATAACTTAAAAAAAAAATTAAAAATAAATAATAAAAAAATTTACAAAACTTTAACTAAAGGTAAATAATAAAATTTAAAAAATAAAATAAAAATTTAAAAATAATAATATATTAAATTATATAAAAAAATTTAAACAAACATTATAAGATAAAATAAAATACGATATAAAAAAATTTATATAAATTGAATTTATTTCTGTTAATTTCAACTGTAACAGAATAAAGTAAATTACAACAAAAAAAGAAATGAAATGAAATTAATAATAATAAATTTAAGTATAAAAATAAAATAAAAACTAAGATAAATTGAATTAACAGAAATAAAACTATAATAAAAGAAAGTAAATTAAATTAAAATAAAAAGAAAAAAATAATAAATTTGAATTAACACAAACAAAACTATAATAGAAGAAAGCAGATTTAAATAACTAGAAATGAAATGAAATTAATAAAAACAAATTGATTTAAATAAAATAAAAAAAAATTAAATAAATTTAATTAACACGAAATCAAATAAAAACATTAAGTAAATGAAAAAAAGGGAAATCATATTTAATTAATAAAATAATTTAAAATAAAAACCAATAACTTAAATTAAATAAGGAATATAATTAAAATCATATTTAATTAATAAAGTAATTTAAAATATAAGTCAATAATTAAAATTAAATAAAGAATTGAATTTAACAAAAATAAAATAAACAACTAAAAATAAATAAAAAAAAATTAATTAAATAAAAAATAAATAAAATTAAAATTAAATTTAAGCAAATAACTAAAAAAAATTAAAAATACAGTAAATAAAAAAAGTAAAAAAAAAGTAAAATTAAATAAAAGGAAAATAAATGAAGTCAAAAAGGTATGATATAAATTAAGAAAATTAAATGGAATGAAATTCGTATGATTTTATTAAAATAAAATATATATAAAAAGTTAAAAGAAATCAAGTGAGATAAAACGAAATGAAAATAAATAAAATAATATAATTAAATTAAAAAGCGCCTTAAATTTAAACAAAATCAAATAAAAATAAAATTTATTTAAAATAAATGCCAAAGTCAAACTAAAAGAAGTGAAGAAAAGTCAAATTTTAAACAAAATAAATTAAATAAATTAACGAAATCGAATACAATAAAACAAAGACAGCGTTAAAAAAAGAAAAAATATTAAATTAATTCATTTAATGATAGATGTTATTCAAATGAAATAAAATTAAATGAAATTAAAATAACAAAATAAAAAGAAAAATATAAAAGAAAATGATATAAAAAAACAAAATCAAAGAAAATGAAATGAAAATAATAAAAAGAAAAACTAAATAAACTAAAATAAAAATTAAACAAAAAATTTAATTTAAAAAAAAATGTTTAAAAATATAAAAGTGAAATATAAAACAAAAGTTATTATACAATAAAATTGTGAAAAAATAGAGTAAAATAACCCAAAGTCAAAACAAAATAAACAAGAAAAGTCAAAAATGAAAAACATTAAAGTAAATTAAAATTAAGTAAAATAAGGAAAAAAATAAAAAATTAGGAAAATTTAAAAAACACAAAAAAAGCAAAATTAAATTATATGAGGAAGAACTAAATATTAGTTTTCATATTAGGTTTTCATATTAGGTTAAAAAAAAATAACATATAAAAATTAATTAACAAAAAATTGAACAAAAATTTTATATTAAATTAAATTTAAAAAAATGCGAACTCATCAGTTCTGTGCTAAAAAAAAAAAAATAATTATAAAAAAAAAATAATAAAATCGTATGTGTAAAAAAAATACGATAGAAAATAGAAAAAAAAGAAAAAGTGTAAAATTAAATAAGAATTAAAAAAACTAGAATATTAATACCATATATTGAAATAAAACAAAATAAAAAAATTAAAAAAACATTACATAGGAAGAAAATATTTTTAATACTAAAATACGCATGTTAGGAAAGTGTTTTTTTTTCGAGTTTTTTCAACACAAATTTTTAGTACTGAATATCTTAGTGTTATATATGGGCAAAATAAATTATTATTTTTAAACTATGTAAAATTCTTTTATTTTTGCACCTACACTCATAGCTGCACATATTTATTTTTTAGTTTTTCCATCAAAAATTTTTAGTACTGAATATCTTAGTATTATATATAGGCAAAATAAATTATTATTTTTAAACTATGTAAAATTCTATTATTTTTGCACCTAAACTCATATCTGCACATATTTATTTTTTTAGTTTTTCCCTCAAAAATTTTTAGTACTGAATATCTTAGTATTATATATAGGCAAAATAAATTATTATTTTTAAACAATGTAAAATTCTTTTATTTTTGCACCTACACTCATATCTGCACATATTTATTTTTTTAGTTTTTCCATCAAAAATTTTTAGTACTGAATATCTTAGAATTTAGGCACAAAAAGCTATGATATTTAAACCATGTAAAATTCTTATTATTTTTCCCCTTATATACCATATATATCATGTGTATTTATTTTTTATAAAACCAATCAATGAAAATAAAAGTTAGTACAATCTTCTTCACATAATATAAATATGTTTTTCAATTTTTTTTTTTGGGATTTTAAAAAATGTATGAAATAAAAAATTTAGTATCGTTTTATTTTTTAACGATATTTTTCATTTGAAATTTAAAAAAAGATTAACTTTTTCACAAAAAAAATTTTTTTTTTATAAAAAAAATGTTTTTTTTTTACAAAAAATTTAAATAAGCACACCGTTATTTTTGCATTTGATCTAAAAAAACAATGCCAAGATATTTACCTTCCACCATTTTTTAGCTTTTCTTTACAAATTTTAACACCAAAATAGCACTCGATAACTGCTCATTCACCTACTCCGGCAAACAAAAAAAAAACTGCGCCGACACGCACCACTGATACACTAGACACTGTTAACGCCTGCGAGTCTGCGCATCACCACACACCTATATATTATATATGTAAGTAGTTGTGCAGTCGACTGGCTACTTGTGTGGAGATCACTTGTTAAAAACGACAGCTGAACGTATTTAAAGCGTCGTTACACAATGTGTATGTGTGTATGTGTGTGTGTTTGTTTGCATCAATAATGACAATAAACGATCAATGATCGCTAGACAAGGAAGTCCAGCTGTAGTGACACGCGCCTTGTTTTTAATTGTGTATTGCGTGGGTGGGTGGGGGAAACCTTTTCAAAACATTGCAACCACCAACAAGCGTCACTAGAGCATCTTCAAACACACGCGGCAACAAAAAAAAAAAACCAAAATCACTTTGTATTTTTATACACGGCGTTGGCAATATAGAAAATACGCGGTAAGCATTCGAATTGCAGACGCAAAACGATCGATAACTGCGAACGTTCTAAATTAAATTAACCGTTTACGCATTAATTATAGTTTACAAAATTGAACTGATTTCGTTATTAGCGTGGAAATTAAGCGACGCTGCGACGTTGTGACGCGGCTCCACCAATCAGGTGAGGGAACACGATTAGGCACGACGATCACTTCTTGCCACTGAGAAGTGTGCAAGCTGAATGAGGAAAATCTTGCTGAACCTCTAATAATACATAAGCCAGCGCTCGAGTGTACGCCGCTGAGCCAGACGAGGATAGTATAGAATTTAGTAGCAAATGTTCATAATGTTTTATTTAGTGCTCAACACACTCGACGACGACATTCAAAATATTCTGATAAAAATACGCTGCAAACTAATGTACAGACACACATGCGCACACACACACATGCATGCATGCATGCATAGGTGGGAGCAACAGATTACACACACACCCACACACTGAGACGTGCGCACGCATACGAGTACACAATGAATGTGCAAATATATTGTCATAATACGTACAACAATAATAATAATAACAACAACAACAAAAAAGATCAACGATCGCGTTCAATATTTGTATGTATGTATGTATGTAGAAATAAGGCGCAGCTCTTGAAGCTTATCAAATTCTTAGGTTGATATTGTTGTAGTGTTTATGCGTTTGATAAATTACAATCAAATGCAAATGCTGACGCTTATGGTTCTCGCTCTCTCTCTCTCTCAGTCACTTTTTCTCAATCACTTTCTCACTCTCACATTCTTATCAAAAATATCCACCCTCAACTGGGAGAGCTCGCACAAAACAGCAGACAACCCTTGCTTTGTCTCAACATAAGGGTCAGACAAATAGACAGAGAGAGAGAGAGAGAGAGAGAGAGAGAGAGAGAGAGAGAAAGAGTAGGAGCTTTTTTTGTGAAGCTGTGTTCTTGTGTTGATCTCTCGATCTTCACAAAGAAAGCGTAAACAACACCAACCTGAAGAATTTCATCACCTGTCGCTGACACTCGAGTTGTTGTTGTTGGTGTGTGCCAACCTATACAAACGTATATATAACTGACGACAAGTTAATCCAGCATTACCACCCCTACTTGTGGCATGCAAATGTATGTATGTTTGTATGTTTGTATGTGTGTATGTATCTTGGCGTGAATTACGATATGCATTTAGCGATTAGTTGAATCACAATAACAACAATGCTGCTCGGCTGATCGTGTTTGGCTGAGCTTGTGTGGCTTTAGCAACGACACTGCGACGTATTGAAATATAACGGTTATTATTATTTTTTTTTTTTTTTGGTTTGATAAGTGTGCTTGTGTGAAGAGATAGTGTGTATAATACAAAAACAAAATTGTCTTTATAATCCTTTTCAAAGGCAAATAGTGCTTGGCACATACTCGGCGAGTTAATACTGTTTATCATAAACAAGCATCTTCGGGCAAATAATAAGTATTCTTACAGTCTTCAAAAGCTAAAATGAACGTGGATAAGTAAGGTGCGTTTAGTTGTGCGGTGCGTAGAGAGCTCATCTCTTTACATAAATTCAACTCAATGGAACTATTCGGGAGATCGGTATCAGGAACTTTTGGTTAAAGTAGCTTAAAACAGAGTTCAGAGATCCGATGCAAACATCATCTTAAATGCCCCCACTCGATCAGAATTTCCATTTCCACTGCTATTGGAAGATCTCACGGATCCTTATGAGCTACTGCAGAGCCCAAGCATCTTGACGAGGCAAGCTTGAGCGCTTCACTAAAAGTTCGCCTTGAAATATAATCAACAATCAATCAAACACGGTAAAAGCTACAGAGACTATGTAAGATCACTTTAGGAATCTTTTTTCTTCTTGAACTATCCGGAAAGAGCTTTCATTAAAAGCTACAGAGACTATGCAAGATCACTTTAGGAATCTTTTTTCTTCTTGAACTATCCGGAAAGAGCTTAAAAGCTACAGAGACTATGTAAGATCACTTTAGGAATCTTTTTTCTTCTTGAACTATCCGGAAAGAGCTTTCATTAAAAGCTACAGAGACTATGTAAGATCACTTTAGGAATCTTTTTTCTTCTTGAACTATCCGGAAAGAGCTTTCATTAAAAGCTACAGATGTAAGATCACTTTAGGAATCTTTTTTCATCTTGAACTATCCGGAAAGAGCTTTCATTAAAAGCTACAGAGACTATGTAAGATCACTTTAGGAATCTTTTTTCTTCTTGAACTATCCGGAAAGAGCTTTCATTAAAAGCTACAGATACTATGTAAGATCACTTAAGGAATCTTTTTTCTTCTTGAACTATCAGGAAATAGCTTCCATTAAAAGCTACAGAGACTTTGTAAGATCACTTTAGGAATCTTTTTTCATCTTGAACTATCCGGAAAGAGCTTTCATTAAAAGCTACAGAGACTATGCAAGATCACTTTAGGAATCTTGTTTCTTCTTGAACTATTCGGAAAGAGCTTCAATTACCCCTTAAGCAAATAGCCCAGAACAGATGGAAAACCATATGTAAGATAACGAAGCACCCAAACAAGGCAAAATAAGAACTACGACCCTTGTATTAAATAGACAGAGGAAAGTTTATATAGGCTTACAGCTATACTTGCGGCACTTGGAAGGAGTGGACCAAACATTTAATATAGAACAGCCGTTGTCAAAGCCCAAAACTATCAAAATGACGCAACGCGCGCCAGTTGGAGCTGGGCATACCCACGTATCTACTCTACCCTTAACTCATAAAAATAATTTGGGCTAAAATTATAAATTAGACACGGGGCTCACTTTCTGATTTTCGATTTCGGAGCTCTACTGTGTGCTAGTAACATCTGTTACCTGTCAATCGGTATCTGAGCCGAAGAGATTCCATTTTTGAAATCTAATCTAATGCTCTATCTCTTCTCGGCTAGAATAATCCCGAAAACAAAAAAGAATCACAGTCAGTTTTACCTCTTATCCTGGTTATAAGGAGGGTATAAGAAACATACTCCAGCGACAAGTCTTTGCTTGTCACAAAAGTCAATTTCAACTCCTTGGAATGAGACTGTTTTGAATAACAGTAAAGTTTACGGAATTCTGTGTAGAACACAATCTCAGATCGAATCCTTATATACTTACATATGTATATCGTATAATTGAGACTTTATAGCTGCTAAATTCATTTTCAGCCGAGCTCCTACTCTAGTTTTTGGTACGCGTCTTGGTGATCTTCGAAACAAATTGAGAAAACTACAGTTTAGTCTAAGCTGCCAACGAACAAATGCTGAATTTTTATCATAGAGATCATCCTAACATTCCTCAAAAATCTAGATGAACCTACCTCTTTTAGCCGTCCCAAACACTAGTGAGAAGTTCACATTTTCTAATGGGAAATACATTCGGAGGTCTTACCATTTCTTAGCATGGGATTGTGATAATTTAAAAAAAAATTCAGCCGTTTTAGATGTCGATTCGGTCTGGTCTATTCGAATCTATAAACCTCTGTTTCGCAAAACCCACCGTTAAGCTTTCCGCTCGATCGGATCTCGCAGGTTACAGCGGAAGTCTCCCTATACAATGCAGTATTCATTACCAGAGCTCATTTTGACTCATAAAAAGACTCCGAATCAAGAAAAAAAACAGCAAAAACCAATTCAGCGCTACGTAGAACTCGAATTTCCCATTCTCGTCAACCCAAAAACGGTCGGTTTATTGCTTACAACGTTTATTAAAGTCAGCCCTCTCACTTCGAGTTGCCTAAATCCAGTGACGACTGCATTCTTACCAAACAAAATATCACCAAAGTAGCTAATCTAACATACACAAACACAAAACTAATCCATAACCCACACACACACACACGCGCGAATGCAGCACAATAACGTCTCCACACAATAAGCAAAAACAAATAATTATAACTCAGTAATATTTACATGCTAAAACAATTGCGTTTGCATGCGCCGGCAGGCTGATTTCTACTCAAGCTTATACAACACAAAGACCCTATGTTTGCAGTTGGAAAAGAATAAGACTCACTGAGGGTTTTGCTGTCAGCAAAAATTTTGCCCTCACGGCTACTGCTCTTCGCAACCTGCTATTGTTTTGCACCGATGGTATAACCATTAATTTTCGATCTTCTATATACCATTATTGGAAGCTTTGTCCTGAATGACCGACGGATCAGCCAACAGCCCAAACCACTGATCGTAGAGGCCAGAAACTGGGAGTGTGTGTTCTGCGTGAAGTGGACCAAAGAAGAATCTATTCGAAAAAATCTGATCACCGACTGGGAGTGTGTGTACTGCGTGAAGTGGACCAAAGAACAATCTATTCGAAAAAATCTGATCACCGACTGGGAGTGTGTGTTCTGCGTGAAGTGGACCAAAGAAGAATCTATTCGAAAAAATCTGATCACCGACTGGGAGTGTGTGTACTGCGTGAAGTGGACCAAAGAACAATCTATTCGAAAAAATCGAGTTTAGTTCTAAATCGTCTGATCACCGACTGGGAGCGTGTGTTCTGCGTGAAGTGGACCAAAGAACAATCTATTCGAAAAAATTTGATCACCGACAATCTATTCGAAAAAATCGAGTTTGGTTCTAAATCGTCTGATCACCGATAACTCTTTGCCTAAAATGACATTTGGAACAGTTTTTCTTCCAGAAATTGACTCTGGGACCAATTCGATGGATCAGTTTTGCTTTATATGTGGACACATGTACTCTAAGGTGGACATCTGGAGATCTGTTCGGAAAATCTAAATCATAGTTCGATTTGGTTGATATCTGAAAGGCTGATAGCTCTGGAAAACTTTTCACTCTTTTTCATACATTTTAACCTAGTAGTTTATAAGTTATAATAAAAGAAACAACGTAAAAAATCTATTGAAAATCTTATTAGAACAATCTTAGAAGCCGCCGGCAACCTCTAATTAATTATATACTCGTATTTATTAACAAGCACGTCAACGCAATTCAATTGAGCTCCACCCTTTACACAGCAAGTTACAAGTTCATCAGAAAATCATCATTACATTGTGTAATATTTGGAATATTTCTAAATCAACGCTCTTATTTTTAACGACTTTTTCATTCATTGTTAACACGTTTAGCTTTTGTTAACGATTTTAATATGCAAATTCATGATGATGATGAAAAATTATTTTCCCTTTAATAAAGCAATGATTTGAAGTTCTTACATACATACATATGAACTTTTAATAATTAAAATAATATTTACATTGTATACATACATACGTATATACAAAATGATGCAATATTTGTATACTTCCAGCGTAAGCCGGGTAGATCCTCGATGTTGGAGTCTAATCGAACGGTTCATACCAACCCAAGTACCCTTTTTAGACAAGCGCCTGAGGAGCGATTTTAGAGATTTAAGTTATCCCTAATGCAAAAAAAAAACATAGTTCTCTGAAGCCTTACCCTGCCCCTAACCCATTCATTGTATCCAGATTGCAAAGTTATAAAGACTTCTGGTAAATATCGAAGGAATCTGCAGCCTAGAGGCTAATGATTAAAATCTGGTTAAACGCCCGTGTGACCAACAGGCTGCTTTGATAAATGTTCTTAATGGTATTGTGGCATTCCATTGCCCTCCATTTAGGTGCAAGTAAAACAGGTCGACGAACTTGGCACAAAAAGCGCGTAGTGTCAGTAGTGGCGACTTAGAGAGACATTCAAAGAGGTGATAGTGCAATTGCATGTATGACAACTGCTGTATCTAATGCTTCATTTTATGATGACTTACTGGAAACTCACGATGCGGCCCGAGCTCTTCGTCTGCAATAGCAGATAGTTGCATCGAGTTTGAATTTAGTACGCTACAGCGTTTTGTAACCGCTGTGACGATTATCAGCGCAGCTCCTCCACCGATTTTTAGTTTGACATTCCCTTCTGAGGGCCGACGAGCGTTGGAAAAAATAATTTCCTGTATATTGTATGTAGCACACACTGCTAATCTCTCGGCTATCGCAGCCGCCAGTTCTCTATTTCATCAAGATTATTGAGATCGCACGATGCGACTTGCGCTCTTCGTCTACAATAGAAGTAAGTTGGATTTCGGTATGGTATTTCAAATTTATAGAAAGATGTTGATTGATTTTCAATGAGTGACGTTTTAGGCTTACCTTCAAAGCCTTCCGGCAACACTTCTCGTAAAACAATTATGTATGTAACTACACGGACTTAGTACAACCGTATAGGGAGAACTTTCTTCACTATTGGCATTGCTTAAACGCTGCACAATATTTTTCACAATATATTTGATCAGAAGTTGCCTAAAAACATACTAAAGAGCTTTGTAATCTACTAACGGAACACCTCTCTCTCTCATGTCTATAGAAACTCTTCGCCATATCGATACATGCACATTTTTTAACGTATCTCTCCATAGCTATGCTGTGATAATGTTTTGAGTCATATTTATTCCACTTCTGATCATTAAAACTTCGATTTGAATTCCCATCTGTCAAACCGGAGAAAGCTGAGTAATTTTTTGTGCCATAAGCAGGTGCTACAGCGCTGCAAAAGACTGTCGGTCATACTGCACCCCATAACTTACTGTATTTACATTAAATATTTCGTATATTGCCGCTAAGGGAAAGTTTTACTCAAAAAAATGTAGGCCAATGTCGCAGTAGTGATAGTGCGCCTCGTTTCGACGTGTAGATTTATTTATTCATCCTGGTCCTCCAATATCTTACTTAGTGCTTGCTGGCTATCTGTTATTGCCTGTTTTGAATTGTAATACTTGGATACGAAAGCTTTTGCATCCACATGTTTCCCACGTGAAAGCCAAACGTAAAGCGACTGCCTACGTTGTGTTGTCTCCAAAAACAATTTTCAACTCTATGACAATTGGCAATATTTTCCATGGAAATGATTTTTTTTACGTAGAAAATTCAAGCCAGACAAACAACATGTAAGAAAGAATTGCTTTTGGCGGGACGTACATACACGTAGAACTTTAATGGAACAAAAATTTTTGAAAGTTTCAGCGCACATAAAATCGATGGTCCTTAAATTTAATCGAAAATTTATCGAAATTTCTTGTCACAGCAGCTATAAAAATATAAGAAAATGAAAGCTAAAATTTAAAGTAAGCGATTGTGAAGAAAAAATTTATGTTGTGGAGATTGTGGGCTAAAACTAGCATGAATGAGAGTTAACAAACTGCTACAACAACAACAGAGTTGAAAAATTTGTTTACGTATTATTACAGCTTCTGCTTGCGAAGCGGTGGCGCTTTTGGTGCAATTGCAACTCATGCATTCCGTGATTAAATTTTTTGTTAACCAAATAAAGTTAATTTTAAAAGAAGCTAGGATTGAAAAATTTAATGCTAATAAATTTTTACGGAAAATATTAATTTTTAAAAAATGTGATATTATTATTTTATTAAAGAAAACATTTTCTTTGGAATGAACGCAATGTTTTCCGGCCTCTCCTCATAAATGACAATTTTTGTTTATAAACAAATTAAATAAAAAATAAATAATAAAATGTAAATAAATTTAATATTCGTGTAATGACAGCTTATAACAATAAACTAGCGCAAAGAACAAGAACAAGAGTTGATAGAATAGTAGCGTAGATGCGGGTTTTCGCAGTTTGAAAATGATGAGCTTGTGAAGTGTATCGGACGCACTGAGAATATTATTTCTTAGTCGTGATTTCAAAGGATTTCAAACCAAGTTCCTGCCAATCATTGCTTTACCTGTAAAATTCTTTTCAAGTTTTTCTTAATTTTTCCCGTCCTTCCGTAGTTCACTTTTAAATTGTTTATTAAAAAACTGCATCTTGTTTACTATAAAATCGTATTATAGCAAAGCATCAGGCTTGCACATGCGCAAAAAGAAAAACAAGATAGCGCCTACTGTGTAGCAATTAGAATTTAATATAGAAATTAAATTAAAAATAACAGGTAATGCAATATAATCAACTATTGTGTATTATTATTAATATTAGATTTAATATTTTGTGCATCATATCGGAAACCAATAAAAATTTATTTGTTTCATAACTATTTTATATGAGAAAAAAAATGCTGAATTGATGATATTACAATAAAATTAATTCATAACTAGTTTTAGTACAAAAAGTTTTTTTTTACACACCCGCACCTTAAAAAAATTTGAATACAATTAGTGTAATTACATATATTGGACCAATAAAGTAGAAAATTTATCGGTGAAACTATAGATTTGATTTTTTTTTTGCATTTCGCATAATAACTACACCTGACAGCCCAACTGACAAAGCCCATCAAATCTCCTACAATGTTAATGAATTGAGTGCAATAATCCTTAGCATATCAATCAAATGGCTGAACACGTAGCACTAACACGTTCCCAGTTAAATTTGAATTAAGCATGCATACACATATATACATACATCTATGAAGAAATCAAACACTAAGCGTTTTCATTACAAATATTAACAATTATATTGTATTATTCAAATATTATTTATACACATGTTTGTATGTATACATAAGTGTTTTCGAGTTATTTTCAATTATTTCATTTCTCTTTTGTGTTTTTTTTTTTTTTGCAATATTGTATACTACTTTTGTATGTTAGTAGATATTGTATGTACATAAATGGTATATATATATATATATATAGAACTTGTCTGTGTGTGAGTGTGTGCGGCAGCTTACAATTCACATATCGCCCTCTGCCATCAACGCACTGGTCTGCACACGTCCTTCCCAGGCTGCTTCCCATAGACGGCTCAGCATTCACCCGACATTCTCATACGCCATAGCTGGCCGCTCACTGCTCATAGCGCTGGAGGCGACTGTTGTGGCGAATATGGTGGGCGGATGATGTTGTTGTGCTTGCTGTTGCTGGTGTGGATTATGTTGTTGCGGCTGTTGCTGTTGGTGGGTATTATGCGCATGCTGTTGATGTGCAGTGGGCTGTTCGTTACGTATCTGTGGCAATGGAAACATTATGCCGTGTGCCATCTGTGGGTGATGTAAGTGCTGTTCACTGGTCGGTGGCGCGGGCGCCTGTTGATGGCTATTATGCTGTTGATGCTGACTGCCCTCAACATGTTTACGTTCCACATTCTGCTGATGTACCTTCTCGCCGCCACCTTCATCGTACTTCTTCTGCAATTGGAATAGTGCGTGTGGCAATTGTTGTTGAGCGTGTAGTGCTACCGCTGAGGCGGTTGCGCGTTCAACTTGTGATTGTGGCGATGCTTCTTTTTCATTTTTCTCATATTTTTTTTGCAACTGATACATGCTGTGCGAGAGTTGGGCATGTTGTGAGAGTTGTATTTTATCGTTTGTCGTCGATGTGCTTTGTTTGCTCGTCGATGACGCGCTTGATTGTGCATGCGTTTGTGACTGGGATTTTTCCTGTTTTACCGGTGGTTTCTTTTGATATTTCTTTAGCACCTGTATAAGTTCGCCCTTGACATCAAGGCGGATCTCTTCCGGCACCCGCTTGATTTCTTCGTAGAGTGAGAGTAAGAAGAGCTTATCAGGATCACGATTCTTACGTTTTTTGCTCTTCTTCGGAAAGGCATCTTGCATGAATTGCAAGAGTTTCTCCTCAAATGCCGATTCGCGTTGCATGGCAGCGGCAGCATGTTGCTGGCGACGCAACAAATGCGAATGCAGGCCACCGTGGAATGCCTGCAAATGTGGCATTGAATTGTGTTGCTGAGACGAACCGCTACCCGGGACATGTTCACCGTTGTGCGTTTGCATACCGACGCCGGGTGTTTGAAATGCGCCACCATGCGTGTCAGTGTGATTCGAGGAGCCAGGCGCATCACTTGTCTCGCCATCATTATTTGCATGATCCTGTTGTTGTTGCTGTTGCTGTTGTTGTTGCTGCTGCTGCTGTTGTTGTTGTGCTGCATGCTGCTGATCTTTCTGATGTTGCATATGCTGTTGTTGACCGTTGGACACGGCAGCAGCGTTCAAAATGGCATCACAGAAATGTTCCGGCACATAATCGAAGCCGGACATAAAGTTTTCCGGCTTCAATTCACCATTCATCTCCTCATAAAAGTATTCTGTGCCAACAATGTCGATAATATCGTTATCCTCTTGATTAAGCTCGATACCAGGAGGCGGTGAACCTCCTGCCAATTGACAACGTTTCAATTCGGCGAGTTTCTTACGCGTAGTCAAACGCATATCGCGCCAACACTGAGTAGAGACAAAGGGATGAAGAAAAAAATCAAATAAGTGTATATTACAAAGACGAGCGTGAAGAATTAGTAGTGCACTTCAGGGAAAATAAGTTTTAAGACACTCAAAATATTTACCTTCTTCCATTGGATTATGGTCTTCTTCGGGCCGATAGTGTTTAGCGCTGCCTGTATCTTCTCCCAATACCATTCCTTCTCCTTTTTCCCCTCCATATACTTTGTTTCACGCAACAGTGTGATAAGCATCTTCTTTTGCGGTTTCGTTACACGATCCTTGAATAAAATATTGAAAACCTTGAAATTAAGAAACGAAAAAAGGCGAGAACTGGATATTTCACACGAAAATATTTCTTTGATCAACAATACAAAGTAACTATTCGTAGTACATACTATTAATAATAAAACAAGGATTACATACATACATACGTACAAGTATGCACACACGTAAAACAAACAAAAATAATCATTTCAAACTGGAACTTGGGGGCGACCAGTGTTGATTTTGCAGTGGGTACATAAAATAGACAGTTGTACCACAACGGCAGCCATTCGGTCGAATTGTCAGACGTCACCCGGCGAATTTCTCACTCCACAACAAGTGCATTATCTGCTTAATGACCATTTTGCAGCACCAATTTGCGGACACTTCTCTGCTGCTCTGTTCTTGATATACACATGAGCCACACATGCTGATTATTCACATTTCTTTGCCCAACACACAAAATAATTTTTTATTTTTTTTTTTCGCATAGACACCTAGCATTTGGCGACAGGTACCGACCGAATTATTAATTAGTGCCTATTTTATTGCTTTGACCAGTTATACAAAATTCTAGTTAGTCTCTATTTATACGCACACTTACCATTTTTATTCGTTGCAAATAATAATCAAAATAGAAATATCCTATAAATTTTGTTCCACCTAGATTTATTTTCTGCTGCAGGAATTTAGCGATTTATTTCACTTGGTTCACCGTCGTGTCGACAGTCGACCGTCAATCGTCGGTGCCGTCGACGTTCGTCGTTTTCAATTTTATGTGTGTCTGTCTTGTTTGTCATACCGTATTTGTTGTTGTTTTGCCAACGCTCTGCTCACGAACTGTCCGTCGTCTTTCATGTTGGCTAACCGCGCTGTCGATATACAATATTAGCAATCGATAAAAGAATTGAAATTTCGATACAAACAGTTGACAATTTATGGTACTGCCAACTTGAAATATAATCCAGAAATTTACATTCGATATCCGCTGCTTGTAGTTTATTTAAAAACATAATAACAAATGTAGAAAAGCTCGTAGAACCAAAGAACGTACGTTCTTTGGTAGAACTGGCTCGTATTTAAGGTGAAAGCAAAGCTACGTGATTTCTTGATATGAAAATTTTGTTAAATAAAATAATTTTTTCTAGCCAGAAAATAATTTTTTAAAAGAAATTATGAGTACTTTTGCATGACAAAATAATGAGTGACCTATATTTAATACCATTTGAATATATTAACTAAAATAAACACTATTAATGCAAAATAAATTTTATTTCAAAAAAAAAAACAGAAAAGGAAGCAAAAACGATTGTGAAACAAATTCACTTTCCAAAATTAATAGTACGGCCGCAAAAACAATTATAAAATCCTTTTCGGTAGGTATGTTTATTGAGAGTAACCCAGTCTGGTCCAAGCTCTTTCTTTTAAATGTTAATTTTTTTATCCGGATAATTTCCCTTTTTAAAGAATTTTTTAGAGAAACAAATGTATATGATCATCTTCACTCAAACCCATTCGTTTTTTTCTGTTTTATTTATTTCATTTAATTTTTTTTCTTTGAGCATCGAATTTTCGAAATATATCAAAACGTTAGTTCGTTTTCTAGAAAATGGAAAAAACTGCATGTCGGATTGTCTAGCACGTGAGACCGGGCCGTTACATACCTTTACGTACAATAGCAAACACCAAGATATAACAACTTACGATTGATTGCAAGCGGATGTTATCGTTTTCGATAAATAACTAACTATGTGCTCACTTTTAACTTCCGCTTATTTCAATTTATTAATTTGAGTTTGCTCAATTTTATCATTAATAACCAACTTTATCCATTCCAGATATGGCACTATGGCGGTATAGATGCTCGGCACACCACGTATGCCACACGTGAGACCATGAGATACAATGCCACAAATATAAGGAGTATTATTGAGTTTGCAAATTAGTGGACCACCACTGTCACCCTGCAAAAAAGGAGCACATAAATAATTATTAACATTTGTGAGTAAATATACATATGTATATGTAAGTATATTCATATATATTTACAACATTTACCTGACAAGTGTCTTGATTATCACCCAGAGCGCAAAGTGTTGTTTCATCATGTGGCGGTGCTAAGATTCTACCCAAAATCTCCGTACACTGCTGTTTGGTAATTACACTAACTTCTCCTTCAATTAAATTATTTTGCAATTCGCCAGCATATTGTGTTGCGCCATAACCAATTATCTGACAGGAAACTTTTGGAACAGAAAGCATCAGCATAACACATGAAAGAGTGTAAAATTTAAATATGTCGTTAATAAGAAAAAAAAAACACAAAACTCACCACCACTAAGATTTTTCATGCCTGCCAGCGGTAAGTGAGTAAAAGCACCGTTAACTAAATTAAACTCCGGCACATAGCGTTTTTTCAAACGCGCCAATGCGATATCATTTTGAATGTTTGTGCTGCAAAGTTCAACAACATTTTACGCGGAAGTTCAAAACAAAAATCAATACAAATAAATGAATAAAAACAAAAAAATAAAACCAATAAAACAAACTTACGGTTGGTAGTATATGAACTGAACACGTTCGATAGTGTAACGACTGTTATTCTGTTGGGCGTTTAAGAGGTTTTCATGACCGATAACGGCTGCAATGCGTGCAAGCTTTCTTTTATGTTGTTGTTTGTTGTTAAAAATGTTTTAAAATGCATACATACATACAAATATATTTGTTAACAGAAATTTATGAAATCGTAATTTTTTTTAGTTAATTACTTGCGCAAAAAACAATGAGCCGCCGACACGAACCATTTGGCATTCAACATAGCGCCGCCACAGAAGTGCCGATACTCGTGTACGCCTAACGAACGACTAACCGCTTCACGTATTTCTTGTATGGAAACGATAAAAGGATACTTTGGTGCCGCTATGAAGTACATTGAACTTGAAAATTTAAATTCAAAAGAAAAAATTTGTCACTTTTAAACGTTTGAAACCTACCATATTTAGGACTATATACGACTTCTCCACCAACAATGGGTGTTGCATAAAGATTCCCTATAAATGCGGTTAATAAAAACGCCACGCTATAAATGTAAAACATTATGCCTGAGAGTACGTAACACTACTGAGACCATATTGCGAGCTATAGTGTTTTGGTAAAATGGATATGAAAGAAGTTAGAATAATAACGCTCCAAAACGCTACGTCAAGCCCCACAAGCTGTGCAAACAAGAATTGTTCTAAGTAACATTTAAGTGAAATACAAAGTAAAAATATTATTTATTTGTGTCGAAATCGTCTCAGTGCACGCGCCAGACGGTCTGAAAGCGTATTTCATAGTGATAAGCAATAATTATTACTTTTTACATTTTTTTTTTATTGTTCCAATATAATTGGAAAATATTCAATTACAGCGTTATTTGTCTGGGTTTAACCTAAACGCGGTTAGCAATAGAATATTTCATTTCAATTCGGATATCCAAAGGAATTTGTAGGCAAATAAAAATAATATTTTTTAATTCTACTCTTCTTTCTAAGAAAATAAAATATTCCATTAAAGTATTTCATAATTTTACCAAAATTTTTATTTTTTTCTTTTATTTTGTGTAAGTGATTTAGTAAAGACTTCTTAATATATATATGTATTACATGTATGTAAATATAACATAGAATTAACAGCGCAACGCGGCGTCGGCATCTGCAGCATCATTTCGTATTGTTTTTTTTTTTATTTATCTACGTCCACGTTGTGCCAACTTTGCATTGACCGTACGTGTCACCGCAGACACGCCCTCTTCGAATTTGGTGCGGAACAGCACATTCGCATTGTTAAACATACCGTCCTTTAACGAGACGATTATAAACTGTGAGCCCGTGAAGTGCGCCTTCAACATGTTGCCGATATTTTGTGTATGTGACATATCTAGCGCAGCATCCACTTCGTCTAGAATGTAGAGCGGCGCAGGTGAAAATTTAAGCATAGCCAAGACGAGCGATAGCGCAACCAAAGAACGTTGTCCACCCGACAATTCGTTTAGGGATTCCTTCCAAACACCATTGAAGCCGACGTTGATCTCCAAACCGAAGAGTTGACCCGATTGTTTGACTGGATTGAGACGCGCCTGCGCACCTTGTAGAAGTGTGCTGAATATGCTGCTGAAATTCTCATCGACAACTTTCCATGCTTTTTCCACCTTTTCACGTTTCTTCTCATCCATTTTGGATATTATATGTTTTATCTTTTCCTTATCCTGCTCAACGATCTTTTTACGACGCATTGTCTCTTGATATTGTTCCTCTTCGCGATCTAAGAGTATCATGGCGCGTAGATTGATATGACGCTCCATTTTATCTTTTTGCTCACGCATTACGGTGAGCTTTTGGCCCGCTTCGATGGGGTCTTCTTTGGAGTAGTCGTAACGTGTGTTTTTCGTGCCGAAGAAATCACGATCCTCCAAAATCCAGGGATATTTCTCTTCGAGTGTTTCGATTTTGCGAAACGAGTCTTTACTATCGTTACGCACTTTATTCACCTCATTCTCCTTTTTCTTGATTTCCAATGTTAAGTCCTGGTTGTTTTTAGTTAACTTCTCTTTTTTAGTTAACAGATTCTTTAATTCTTTATTCTGTGAATTTATTTTATCTTTCTGCTCTTTAATGCGTCGTTTTAGATTTGCCACAACCGTTGCAATGCCTGAACTGTTTGCGCGTAGCTCTTCGAGATTCGTTTCCATTTTATTTATATTCTCCTTCATATTATCACGCTGCTCTGTGGTCTTCTCAATACTCTTCTTCAATTCCTCTATTTCCAATTGCAGCGTTTCGAATTCTTGTTCGCGTTTTTTCCAATTGTTACGTGATTCTTCCGATTTCTTCTTCGCCTGTTTCATTGCTTCACTGGCTGCCTTTAATTCACGCTCACGGAAGCCCTTAGCATCGGCTAGCTTAGCCTCGATATCCTTAATTTTACCCCGCGTATTTTTCTGTGTCTCTCGCGCTTTGTTGAGGTCACCTTCGAGTGTTTCGATCTGTTGTTGTAGTGATTTGATTTCCTCTTGATGTTGTTGGAATGTACTTTGTGCCAAGCGTTGTTTGCAGGCGTTCAGCTCGTGCTGGCGTAGTTCCAACTGTTCCTTGATACGATTGTAATTGCGTGCTGTTTCAGTTGTAATACTAAAAAGTTTAGAGTGTCGATTAATTAGAATCAACGAATAAAAGTGAATACAATTAGATAAAAAAAATATATATATATTTACCGTAATTTCTGCTCAATATTATACAACTCCTTTTTGCGCATAGCAATTTCTCGTTCCAACCTTTTAATCTCCGCTAATTCAGCCAAAACGTTGCTGCCTTTAGGTCGTGAGCCACCCGAGAGTGTACCTTGTGGATCAACAACATCACCTTCCAGTGTGACTGAGCGTGAGTGTATGTTGCGATGATATGTAACCTATAGTTGGTGTAAGAAATCGAACATTTCGTGAAGAGACTGACAACCCAAAAATTACTTAGCCACGCTATTAAGAAAATAGCGGCTAAATTAGCGCCCTTAACAATTGTTGGTTAATAATGAATTCAATAGTACAACAACAGATTATATGGCTGATGTTGGCGCAGTAGTAGAGGACTCGCCTGAACGACCCGGATTTTTTTTCGGCCCAAGGACTGTCACTCACTCCCGCAACATTCCCCAAAAATCATTTTGAGAAATATTTTTGCAATTAAAACAACAACAACAACCATTTTTCTTTGTTGCATAACAAAATATTCAATTCATACAAACAAACCAGGCCTTTAGTTTACTTAATACTTTTAACAAAAATAACTAAGTAAATCTACCCACCTGCTTAGCAATATTCAAATCACGACAAACCAATGTGTGTCCAAATACAAATTTCATAACGGGATCGAAATAACGATCGTATTCGATTAGTGATAAGGCAGATTGTACATTTTCTTTGCCCACCTACAAGAAATTTGGGTTCAAAAAGGAATTTGCTTTTAAAAAGAGATCTGCACCACTCACCAAGCTTTGCGCGAAATCAATTACACTCTGATCAATAGGATGTGAGGTGATTTTATTGATTGGTATAATTGTTACACGATGTTGTAGTTGACCTTTTTGTAATATTTTTTTACTGGTCATATCATCATCGGCCACATAGCTGTATAACTACAAATACATATATACAATAAATAAATAAAAAAAATACTATAATAAATATCCGTAGACACTTACGCTACCACCAGCCGTCATCATTAGAGCAAGATTATTCTTTTCATCGCGTACATTAAATAGTTTGCCTACCATGCCACGCATTTTTGAGCGATCGAAATTCGGTTCGGGATCCCGATATTGTAGCTCATAACGGTAGGCATTGCGCCGATCCAATTGTTGATTTAAATCGCGTATTTCATGCTGTAGCACCTGTTTACGCTCTTGCAGTGCCTCATAACTGCCATCTTCATAGTCAATAGATGACATTTTCTGTTCCAAACCTTTGATTTCTCGTTCGAGCTGTTCACAGAGTTGTTGATCCTTGGCATATATTGTGTCCTTGGAGTGTTTGTCGTTTTCACGTTGCTTTAAAACATTACGACAATGTGTTAATTCCATGCTGGAGGTTTTCAGCGTAGTCTCAGCTTGACTGAGTTGTTGTTTTGCAGCTAAAGACAGCAATTAAACATAAATGAATATTAAAAATATATTTACTAACGATAACTTACTAATCAATTGATCTTGCAGCGAGCAAGATTGACCTTCCTCATCTACAGATAGACCCTGTGTAACAGCTTCGAATTTTCTCTGTGCCGCATCATACGCTTGGGCGTCACGCTCATCTGCCTCTTTGAGACTTTGAAAGAGATCGTGTACCTTAGACATTTGTGCCTCTTTTAGCTTTAGTGCTTTCTCATCTTCAGTGATATTTTTCTCCAAAGTACGTAGCTTCTTTTGTTCCTGATCGATGCCGGTTTGCACCGATTTCAAACTACCCGCCATCTTACCTTCCTCCACTACTTGTTGTGTTAGCTGTTCTTCAACTTCTTTTAGTGCACCACCACTACCGTTATCAATTTGTTCTTGCACTTTTTTGGCTGATTCATCAATACTATCCATCTCACTATTATTATCTTTTATTGTATTTTTACATGTTTCAATACGATTCGTTAACTTTTCTATTTGTGTTTCAATAGAGCGTAAAGCCTCTTTCTGTTTAAGATAGCGAAATGATATGTGTATGCGCGTTAGGTATTCAATATCACGGCAAATTTTTTGAAACTCCAAATAAGCTGAACGTTCCTGTCGCAACTTTTCCAATTTGGGTTCAACTTCCTCTTGCAGCAGTGTATTTGTTTCGCGCACTTTAGCGTCCTTTTTCTCAATAAGTTTGGTAGTCGCTTCTCGTTTTGTCTCATACATACTAGTGCCAGCAGCCTCCTCGATCATTGATAATATTTCTTGTGGTTTCATGTTCAATACTTTAGTAATACGACCTTGCATAATCAAAAAATTAGGATTATTCACATTTAATTGTACAGAGCAAAAGAAATCTGACACTTTCTTATTCTGTACTAGCTTGCCATTGATTAGATACTTATTTTTGCCGCCAACAACAATTTGTCGTGTAACTGAGATTTCACGACATTTTTCATAACCCAATGGACATTGATTTGGATCCGAGTTATCGAAAATTAATGTAACGGTAGCCTTTGTAACACCCGCCTGTCCACTTTTATAGACGAGATCTTGTAGCGAAGCGGCACGCACCTATTAAAAATTTTGATATAAATACATTCACAATATTTATTTCAATAACACACATACCTGACCCAAATTCATAATACCAAGTACGAAGCATATTGAATCGAGTATATTTGATTTGCCGGTGCCATTCAATCCGGTGATCGCGGTAAATTCACTATCAAAGCCATGAATTTCTGTACGTCGTCCATAGGACTTGAAGCCATCAATTATAACAGATTTAATATACATTTCCTCATACACTCAGTAATCCTTAAATGTATGTAGTGAATTTCTGTAAGATTTATAAATATATATGTATGTAAACGACGCTAGCTTTGGTATGGCACAAATTGAAGAGCGCGCGTCACTATCGCGTACAACAAACACCATCTCCTGCGTTTAGGACAAAATTGACATATTGCTTACCAACGCTCCAGCCCCAAACAATTATTTTTCTTGGTTTTTACTGCTCCAATGACAATTTATAATGAAATACCCAATTAATAATTGATTTCCCAAACAAATTATAAAGTAATAACAAGCAGAAGACTTTCTCGTTTTTGTTCTTCCTCTTCTATCAAACAACCGTTGGCCAGTGTTGCCATTTGCAGGAACTTTCAAAAAAAAAAATGATTTATGCACATTGCTGTCTTTGTTACAAAGTAATTTAGTGCTAGTGGAAATTATTTCCATATTAGTTTTGACTTTCTAAAAGAATTAAGTATTTCTTTCTCTGAAGTGTAAAATAACAGCTAAACAGGTTTTGGAAAAGAATTATATGGCAATGCTGAAGATCATGAAGCAGGGTTGTTTAAATTTTGTTTACCACTGAAGAACGTCTAAACAGCTGAAGCAAATTTTAAACTGTCGACAGAATCTTTATTTAAAATTATCTGCCAATTCCAAAAAATCGCAATTTTTTTTTGTTTCCCCAGGCTGACTCTTTATCTTAATCACTAAATAAACATGTCGAACAGATACTGAACGAACAATCATAATAACTCAATGCCTTCTCGTTTGTTTCTACAATTACCCGTATATATGTATATTTAAGCCCAAGTTTTTTAATGACTTCATTTCCCCATTATAACAAATAATAAACATTCATACTTTTTTCCAAAATAAAAAAAGTTTATTTTTTACTTTTAAATTAGTGACCACCAATAACGTCTTAGAATTAAACTAAACGCATATCGTAATAAATATTTAACGATATGATTTTTGGTAGCGAGCACGGGCACCTGGACCACCGAATTTCTTTGGCTCGCAACGACGTGGATCACCGACCAAGAGAGTTCTGTCGTATTGGATGAGGATATCCTTGATTTCCTTCTTGGAGGCCTCATCAACGTCTGAAAAGAAATAGATGGAAGCATTAATAATAAATCAATCAATATCACATTTAGATTTTTATAAAAATAAAATATAAGCCTGTAAATCTAGCATCACTCACAATTACTACAAGAGAAAGCAATGTGATTGGTATTTGCCCGATGAATTTATTTACCGTGTTTTCATCTTTCGAAAGGAATTTCGTGTTCCTACCGAAAATCTGGTATTAACCGGCATGAATTTGTACAAAAAATCTGAGCCTGTAAGTCTAGCATCACTCACAATTACTATAAGAGAAAGCATTGTGATTGGTATTTGCCCGATGAATTTATTTACCGTGTTTTCATCTTTCGAAAGGAATTTCGTGTTCCTACCGAAAATCTGGTATTAACCGGCATGAATTAGTACAAAATATCTGAGCCAGTGAGTCTAGCATCAATAACAATTACTGTTGTTACAGAATTTAAATGAAATTTTTGTTAATCGGGCATCACTCATTCCTGCTATATAAAAAGGAATGATTGGTATTTGCCTGATAATTACTCTCCCGTGTTTTCATCTTTCGTGAGGAAATTTATGTCCCACCGAAAATCTGGTATTAACCGGGCTTTTCTCTTTTTAGTTCCAAAAAAAATTTGGCGTCTTATTATTACATAATTGTTAACTTACATTTCTGGTAGAAAGCGATCAAAGCCTTTGAGATAGCCTGACGGATGGCATAAATTTGAGCCACATGACCACCACCGCTAACGCGTACACGAATGTCTACACCAGCGAATTTTTCCTGCAACAAAATATTTCTTGTTATTACATTTCATTAAACAATTTTAAATATTTATGTGTTCATTTCTTTTCAGTTAAGAAGCTATTTTCATTGAATTCAATTTCGGGATAAGATACACTCATCATAAAGCGACACCAAACCCCCCACCATAAATGCATAAACAAAACCTTTACTCACCTTGCCCAACAAGAGAAGGGGTTCCTGCAATTTGTATTGCAAAACTTTGGGTTCAATTTGTTCCAGAGGACGGCCATTGACCCTCAAGAGACCACGTCCACGCTTGCAGTAAGCAACAGCGGTGGCGGTTTTCTATAATTATAAAACAATATATTATTTTACCTCATATTGCTACTGAAAATGCGGCACGTGTATTATCGTGGCTTGCGTTTGTTACAATTACCACAAATACCTTACCTTGCGTCCAAAAACTTGCACGGCGTGCACGGGCTCTCTGCGCTAGAAATAGTAAGGAATACACAGATTAATACACATTTTCTTAAATTACAATATTTAAAGATGCCTTACTTTTTGCTGCATCTTTGCTCAAGCAACTTTGTGAAAAAGACCGGAAACTGCCGTTCTACCACTGAACAGTAATTTAACGAAGGGAAATGTCAATGTCTTCGTTCAATGCAGCTGCGACCTCTAGTGAAGAAAATGTAATTAAAGTGTTACAATTTGAGAAATTTTATTAAAACTCATCAGAATTTCTAAATAAATAATGTATAAAAGAAAAAATATTTACATTGATCACATGAAAAAATTTGCTTTTAGAAAAAGTTTGTTAAAGCTGCGAAACACTAACCACCCTGTTCCAATTGTCACTGTCAAAACACTACTCATTTAGAAAAAAATTCTATTGTCGAACTGAAATTTTAGTGCATAAAACTTTCGTGCTTCTTTGAGTTTTTAGTATATTTAAACGGTTTTTGTTCGCTTAATGAAAATATATAAAAATTCCTCCGTTTGGTAACAAAAATAGAAAATATTCTTGCAAAATGTCCAGCGGACGCGAGGAAGGAGAAATCGATTCAGAGGAAGATGGCCTGCGAAAGCGAATACATGAATTGGAGAATGAAAATGCAGAATATGAAAGGATTAAGCGGATTTCGGAATGCTATGAAGACAAATATGGTATGCAGATGACATAGTTAAGAAATTTGGAATTCTCCTAGCCTCATCATTATTTCTAATGAGATCATTTGTCAACATTTTTTGAGGATTTTTATACATTCATATGTATAACACATTTGCCAATATATACAGATGTGTGTATATTTTGTTGGGGCTCGTGGCTAGTTAAAAAAAATTATGACAAGGTTATTACTAAGCGATAGCCTATGCATATCGCTGCTCATGGCAAGCTTTTTATCAGTATTCTACACTAAACTGAAAGAGTGTAAATATGTATACTAATTATATGTATACATCGAATTAAAAATGAGTTTGAATGTTACGTTTATGCTTTTCTTTTTCTTCTTTCTTTTTTCTTTCTTGAACTTACACTTTCGATTCCATTTTATAACACCCCATTTAGGCAACATGTATAGGTTGAACGATTATAATGCTTGGGAAGCTGTACAACGCGCTGGTCAAGTGCCCACCGATGTATCCTCTATTTCATCCGTTGAATTTCCCACACCAAAGAAGAAGAAACATAAAAGAAAGAAAAATAAATGTAAAATGCATGACCGTCATTTACAGTCTCGTAGTCATCGCTGTACGCATCAGCGGCATAAACATTGTAAAAGTCAATTTCATGGTGAGAGGCGACACCATCATCGTAGAGAACGTTTGCTTAATCCTTACTATGAAAGTCGTATTGAAACAATATCGCTGGACACCAGTGATAACAGTGATTATGAAAAAGATAATTACTCCATAGCCACAATGGATATAGAAAGTCCCGATGAAACTGCTGCTGCTAATACAACATTGCCTTTAAACCGTGAAGAGTTACGATTGGCTCTGTGTCGTAGTGCGGGTGAGAGGAAAAATAACACCTGCTCACTAAGACAACGTCTCCAGCCCGATAAAGTTATTGAACTAGAGGACATAGAAAAAACAGAAACAATGGAAGAATCAGCCGGAAATTCGAATGATGTAGAAAATGTTGTTGAGATTAATAGTGACAATTCCATATCCATTGAGGAGCAAGAGCTGCGCTTAATCGCTTTAAGATCGGCTATCATGCGCAAGCATGCGACTCGTAAAAAGCGTAATGCCGAAATAGCCTATTCGCCAACAGATTTCGATGATTTGCTAGTTGAACCAGTTGGTAGTCCCATCGGTACAGATATCGTCGATTTGGATGGTGATATGGAAATAAGTCCTGCTAGTTCACCACGTTTGCTACTCAGTCCCATACAATGCGATGAGGAGGGAAATAGTAATTTGAGTTTGGAAATGGTAGATCAACAAGTTGATAATAAACCTGTTGATATGGATTTGGCCAGTAGTGATAGTGAAGTGGAGGAAGATAATGGTGCCAATGTTGTTAATGCAAGTCTTGAAGAGCAGCAAATGCAAGATATACCGCTACCTGCTGGTGCGCCTATGGAAAGTGTCAATCTACCTATGCCGTACAATTACGCAAATCATGGTAATGTTATGCCATACGACATATATGTGTCTGCTATGCCATATCGTGCACCATTAGATATGCCACAGGCCGTGTTGCCAATACCTAGTTTCCCCGCAACTACAGCATTAGCTAATTTAGAGAAGCCGTCCGCATTTACGAAAGTTATACCCCTTGAATTCGTTAAGAATGAGAATGTTAATGAAGAGCGTAGATTAAGTGCCTCACCGAAATCAACTACCATGGAAATTATAACAGAAGAAACACAAGAACAGCCGGAAGAGTGCAGTGATGAAGATGAAGCGCAAGCTTTGCGTGCTTTGCTGCTGTCGCAACGTCAGGCGGCGAAATCAACGAAAATGAATGGGCTACGACTAAGTGGAAAATCATCACCAGCGCAGGTTACAACGTTAAACGATGAAAATCGATCACAACACACAGAGATCGGAGTGAAGGTGGAAAATATAATTAGAGCACAAGCACAAGCAACTGTCGATAGCAGTAAACCAACGCCCACCGAATCGATACTAAAAGAGGCCGTACGCCGTTTAAAAGTGAAAACCATTGAATATTGCGACAATGTGGAAAAGGTGCCACTGCCGCCAATACCAATTGTGCCACGCTTAAAAATTAAAGCTTTTGCTCGCTGTAGAGATTTTGATGATGTGAATAACGCCCAAGCTCAAACATCAACCGCCATAGAGAATGACATATCAACAGATCACACGCAGGCAACAAATGCAAAAAGCGCATGTAATCATTTCACACAGCACGACGAAAGTAGAAGCAGCAATGAGAGCATGCAACGCAGAGGTACACCTGAAATATTGGGCATACAAACGAACTCGAATGTGAATACCGGCGCTATGCAGCCAACAAAGCGACGTTTAGAGAAGGAAGGTGTAACTGCGCTTACGCTACGCTTGAAAGAGTTAAAGCAATTGTCTGAAGGTCAATACACCTCAGAGGAGAGCAATGGTGAAATGCTGGAAAACAGCAACACAGAGCATAATTATGAAATATATCCTAAGAAAGCCAAAATCGCAACAGAACATGCGCGCACCGCCCCAGTAACGGTGCCAAATAATTTGAAATCCAAAGAGCATATGCCAGAGGTTAGCACGAAAGAGCGGAACACCGGCGGCAATAGTGGTGAAAAGGAAAATCAGGCGCGTACAACAACCACACCGATCAAAACCATTAATACCGCAACAGTTGTGCCGAAGTCAATTCAAAGTGCTAAGCCCGCAGCGAAAACACTGAAGGGGGCCGTAAAGAAAAAGGTTAACGCTACACCCGCAGCAGTGAAAAGCATTGTTGCGCCACCCAAAATGACCGTAGCGCCGCCACCAAAGATTATTAAGCCGATAGCGCAGTTAAAAATTGTTAAGCCCAATAAAGTGATTAACAAGAATTTAGAATTACCACAAAAAAAGCAAAAAAGCGACGATGTGAGCACACAAAAGAAACCCGAGGCGAGCATGCAACAATCGCGTATACTCACACCCACAACATTGCATAACATCAAAGTGAATAAACTCATTATACGCGTTGGCGATTCCTCCTCCGAGGATGAAGAGGTGCTGCGCAATCAAACGCTAGAGCGTTGCATCGGCCTCGCCGGTATACGCACTAGTACGCCCGACTCGTTGGCTTATGCCTTAAATCAAAATATATACAGCAGCAGAGAATATGGCACACAAATGGAAGCGACCGGTAGCGCCAAAGCGCAAATCAATGAAGACATTTCCAATGCCTCATCAGCAAAAGAGCCGGCGCTTGGTGAATCATTTGAAAAGAAATTGGAGAATTTCCTTAAAAATATACGTTCTAAAACACATCAACCGAGTGACGACAGTGCAGCGCATGCGCATGCGCGTGTGCGTAAGATAAGTCTGAGTAACAGTAGTGCGCAGACGGGCACGCCAACGGTGAGTATAAAGCAATATTCTTAAGAAATCTATCTCATGCTAATTTTCTTGTATATTTTTTTACAAAAAAATTAAAAAATTTAAAATTTACTTTGTATAGGCCGTACGCAGTCTGCCGATCGCCTCACAGGAAGAATACAAACGCTTAGTGCATCGCATGAAAATACTAGAGAAGCAGAAACATTTAAAGAAAATGCAAAAAAGCCTGCTCGAAGACACAGAAAAGTATACAAAAATCCAGCAAGGTGCCGCAAAGCGGCTGCATAAGACGCATAACGCTATGCAGCGTATAGATGAAGATAGCCAAACCGTTAGCACAGGCACACAGACGAGCAACGATGCGTCGACTGCGGCTGATGAAAACACAGTTGCGACAACTACGCCACCAGAGCAAAGTTGCTCAAATGAACATTCCGCAAGTGTAATTGCTAAAATTGTCGACACGGATGAGCAATGCGTCAAAGCGTCGGCGAAAAACGAAAAGGTTGTAACTGAAAAGCTAAGCAGTTGGGAGAAAATATACGCGTCTATTAGGTAAACTTTATTATTTGTGGTTTTATTTAAAAATTTTTGCGAAAACTATATTAATTGTGTTAATTGTGTTTTTGTTTTCATGCACTTAGTAAAAATATACTAACGCGGCTGGATAAATCGCTGGCATTGGTGCAAGAAGCAAAGTCGGCGAAAATCGCCAAAATGCGTCACGAGCAGCGCATACAGCAGCTGCGGCTGGAAATGGAGCAAACACAACGCAAAATGAAAGAAGAACAAATGAAAATCACGCGTATACATCCGCAAATATGCACCAACAATGAGTTGATAACAAAATTGCGTCAGAAGCGTGCGAAAGTACAGGAAATGGCTGTGAAATTGGGCAAAAGTGTGCAGGGCGATGATTATAGGTATTCAAAAGAACGTGCTTGGTGTGATTACTGCACGAAGACATACATAATATTGAAGTGAAACATGTCGACAGCTTATAAAAATTTCACATGCGTTATGTTTGCACTTGAATTTGCATATTTTTTTGATAAGTTTAAATATCTATAATTTTTTTTTTATTTGTATACATATTTTGTCGAATTTCTACTAATCTATTTTTATTTTATTTTATTTAGATTAAATAATGATTTGAAAAATGAAATAGTACTCAAAACAAAAGGATTGGCAACACATATAAAACTTGTTAATTCAATCAGGTATTGTGATTTAGATATTTTGGATAAGCATCAGGAAACCATATTGCCAGATAATAGTACACAAAAGTCTATAAATAAGAAAATACTTGAGAAACAACGAAGTATTGTTGAAGAAGTTACAAATAGTGTGCCCCCGGCTACCAGTACTGATAGTGTCATTGTTGAAAATGTTGAAAATATTTTAAATGCTTTGCCTACGCAAGCAGAAAAGACGCTGACAAATATTGAAGAGACTACAATGACACTAGCGATTGATGAGAATGCTTTTGATAAGCAAAAAAATGCGCAACAAGCTGTGCAAAATAATCTAGAATTATCAACTGCGCACAAAGCTGCTGGTGAGAGGCAAACGGAAACTGAGATTGTATACCAAAGGAATGAGAGTCCCACAATTTTAGATGAAGAGAACGCAGACAAGCAGGCTAGCGCGAAAGAAGCTGCCGATGCTTGTGGCTCACCCTTACTAGTGCTTGAGAATACTGATAACGAACAAATAAATGCAAAGGGAACGTCCGAAAATTGTGATAAACTGAATGAAGTACAACCGACAGCGTATGTGGAAGCTGTAGCAGATGTAGCGTGTGTGGCAGTGGATGAGGCGGTGAAGGAGGAGCTACATGCGCCGTGTGATAGCGGCAAAGAAGTGCGTGCCTTATGTCTTGAAGAACACTTACTTAGTAGAATTTTAAATTTTATACATATACAAATTATGTACATACATATATATTTAAAATAATAACTTTCACTTTTAATACCGCTATAATAACATATTTATTGAGTATATTTAGGTGCTGCGCGAGACTGACAACAGAAAAGAGGAAGACAACGTCCAATTAACACAACCAGCGGCGCTGGAAACGAAGATGGATCGGACACTGCGAGAATATGTGTCGCCGCTGGCGCCCTTAAGATGCGAAAGTGGGTGGGTATTCGTGGTGTAGCAGTCAGCCGCTTAAAAATTAAACTTTTTTTAAAAAAAATTCCTTTGAATTAAATTATAATGTATTCCCACTTGTATATATTGCCATAACTTCCATCATCAAATAGCGTTATATTGACATTCCAGAAATTGGGATCCCAACGCCATTATCTGTCCATACGAGTTGATGGGTCAATGTGAGGATAAGGATTGCAACTATAAACATTTCAATGGCAAAATAAAGCAAGTCGTAACATGACATTCACCCTCAAAGCAAAGCTTTAGCAAGCTTTAACGTGTATGCTATGCATGGGCGTGTATGTACGCACCACATTGAACTGAGTTCAATATTACCAAAAAAAAAATACAAATAATGGAGTTCCAAATAGAAGTTGCCTACTAGGTAAGTTAAAACAACTCAATTTAGCATTATACACAAAACCAAAAAAAAAAATGAAAATAAAATTTAAAAAACACAAGAAACGTGTAGAGCGCGCGTCTCCACTTAACTTCACTATCCTATACCACTCGTGAATCGAACGTTATTCTATTGAAATTACTCGTACATGTTTTTGTGATAAAAGCATTTCTTCCACTATTTTTCTTATGATTTTGATTTGAGTTGGTGGTGTGGCGTAGAAAGTTTGTGTACAAAATGCAGCGAAAAGGTCTGTTGAAAAACTTGAATTGAAATTAATTATAAATGAAATGAAATATAGAAAATATAATCAATAATAAAATGCATTATTTTTAGGCGTGAGTTAAAACTTCTTTTTTTTTATAGATTCTTTTCAAATTACATTGTTGCCATAAATTATTATAAGTAATGGTACCTTTGCTGTATTTTAGCGAACTTGCCACATTTTGTTTTCTTTTGATTTTTGTAAAAAATGAAAACTAAAATTTAAGCTATAACAAAAGAATAAAAATATTGTTTTATAACGTTGCTATAAGAAAAACTGTTTACAAAGTGAAACAAATATATGCTAAATAAATAAATTAAACTGTCTTTTATTTCACAAAACAACCAAAACAAAAATAAAAAATATTTATTGGTCGGGAAATAGTTAAAAGTCAAAGTTGGTTTCCAACCTAGTGAATTTGTTGCAGAAAAATTGCCCAAAAAACAGGTTTACGGTCGTCTAGCACGTGTCTTCGGAATTTCCAACGTCTCAGTGCCGAGGAATTTGCTTTTTGAATTTGAATTTATCATTTTTCGTTGCGGAAATGACACTTGGTAAAGTAAAAATATGGGTCGTTCCAAACTTCACTGGCGTGGGAGCTATTGAATTTTAGTCCACGATAGGCATGCTTTACAGATGGTAATTTTCTGTGCCTATATATAGTAGTTTCATTCCCCTTTTACATTTTTTTTATTAATTTTTTTAATTATTTTCTTTTTTATTTTTTTTTATTTCTATTTTATTTTTTAATTATTATTTAATTTTTTTATTTTTTTAATTATTATTCTATTTTTTTATTTTTTTTTTTTATATTTATTTAATTTTTTTTATTTTTATTTAATTTTTTTGTTTTTATTTTATTTCTCATATTTATTTTTTTATAACTTGTTTTATTTTTATTTTATATATTTTTTTATTATTATTTTATATATTTTTATTTTTATTTTATATTTTTTTTATTTTTATTTTATATTTTTTTTATTTTTATTTTATATTTTTTTATATTTTTATTTTATATTTTTTTATTTTTTATTTTTATTTTATAATTTTTTTCTTTTTATAAATTTTTTTTATATTTTACTTGTTTTTTTATAAATTTTGTTATAAATTTTTTTTATTTATTTATATATTTTCTATTTAGTTTCTTATATATTTTTTATATATTTTATTTTTTTTATATATTTTATTTTTTTTATATATTTTATTTTTTTTTATATATTTTTTATATGTTTTTATTTTCTTTTATTTTTTTCTTTTTATTTTATCTTATTTTTTATTATTATTTATTTTTTAATTTTTTATACATTTTTTTTAATATTTGTCGAGTTTTTTTAAGTTTCTACTATTTTTTATTTAAGTTTTTTCTATTACTAATGTGTGTGTTTTTTATTGATATATTTTATTCACTTCACTTAATTTTTTTTGTTAATAAATTATTTCAGTACCTAAAAATTTTTACATTTCTCATTTTATTTGTTCTTGTTATATATTTTTTTCACTAATTTTTTTTATATATTTTTTCATGTATTTATATTATTTCTATATTTTATATACTTTTGACTTTATTTATTTTTTATAAATTTTTTATTTTTTTTTATATATTTTTCCATTTATATTATTTCTATATATTATATACTTTTGACTTTATTTATTGCATTTTATATTTGTATTTTATATATATATGCAAATATTTTTTATTTTATTTATTTATTTTATTTTATTCTTTATTTTATTTTTTATTTATTTAATTTTTTTTATTTATTTTTTTAATTTATTTTATTTTTTTTAATTTATTTTTTTCGGTTTATATATTTTTTACTTTATTTTGGTTCTTTTATTTTTTTATAAATTAAAGAAAAAAATACTTATTTTTTTATTTTATTTATATATTTTTTATTTTATTATTATATTGTTTTATTGAATATTTATTTATTAGCCGACGTCGGTCTTGAGACTATCACTTCGCGTGGCGAGGTTTTGCTTTGTGCTAGGCACCCGCTAGGCAGTAATCGACTTCGATGAAAACTAAAACGACGCACGGGACGAGAGACACAATTTTTATTTACGAGCCCTGTTTTGGGGACCACGATTCGAGAGCATTCTACTGGATTGTCGAGTCACTGAATTGGGAATGTGCAGCTGCCTTCGTAAGATGTAGTCTGACAACACCGCCGCCCAAGAGTTGCACTGTTCATAACAAGAGCGGAGACGAGCATGATATATGTATATCCGATGATTATGGGAGAGAGGACTGAATCTCTCCAAGTTCTCACATTTACCCCAATTCGCGTCAAAGTAAAAAGTCAGAAAACTCAGCCTCCATAATGAAATATTGAGGCTGATCGACTTATGTGGTTTTTGGTAATACCAGATTCCAACACAACAAAAGCTCACGAAGTAAAACTCGAAACGAGATCAAAAATGTTGTGAGGCAAACGAAGTGTCCCCAGTGTTTTAGATGATAAGTATGCTCCAATATCTTGTAGCGATAAAGATATGCGCCCGTCTAAAGAACTAGCAATGGTCAAGGTGCATATGCTCCCCTATATCTAATGGTATCGTAAGATCGCGCTTTGAGTAGAAACAACGTGAGTAGAAAGGGAAAGCAAATAGGACTTTATAACTCAACCCACCCTTTTTTCTTTGCATGCCTCCTTAAAGCACTGGAACTACTTTTCTTTTGCCTTTCTTTTTAAACTAAAATCGTAATACGTTCCTAGGCTGTATGCTCGGTTGCACGGCTTCGGTCTTTAAATTTCAATTAGGTGTGGAACATACCTTAGTTCACTTCAAACTGTTTGTCTACATTGATTTGTACGGTAAAAATGTTATTTAAAGCATTTGTCGTATGGCCCCAGCTTTGGAATACTCGACTCATCAAATTTTTAATCAACCTACACTATCCAAATGACGCCACAAGCAGGACTCAGCTCAACAACACAGTCTCTTGCCCTTTGGTAATTATCCAGTGGGCCATACGTAAGTTCAACATTCACCTGATTACTAAATGAACCGTTTGAAATCAAACAAAGGTAATGTTTAATAAGATCAGTGAAGAAGGGCATGACTCAACGTTGTATTTACACAACTAATTGGATTGGTTGCAGTTGCAGTGAAGCAGCTTAAAAAAAAATAAAAAAAAAATGAAACAAAACCAAATTATGTTTTAGAGGTCGTTTTTGGAAAACGTGCAAGGTGGCACATGTAGTGTGCAAGCACTTGCACTTTTTTGTACATACATAAATGTGTATATAATATAATACGTACATCCATATGTGTGCTCATACATACAGTGTTTGACTAGATTGTACATGAAATTGTGTGGTAGGAAAATAGTAAAAATTAAGTGAGAATAGTTAATTAAAGTATAACACAAACTGTATTATTATTATTATTTTTTTGTTAATATTAATCGACGAATTACACAAAATTCACAAACCTTTTTATATAAATAAATATCAATTAAATAAGCCGATTGATTTTTCAATTCATATAACAATTTCCAAGCCTTTTGATTGCACTTGAAATCGATATACATATATAAACTAGTTCATAATATTCTTAATTTCCCGTTTTGCTGCCAATTTTGCACCCCCATAAGGCATTTCGTTTAAATTTTGCTATTTCAATAGCGCTTGTGTCTCGTCCAAGGCGATCTCACATACAGTTCAATGATCTGCGCTGTTATAAAACAATATAATGCATATGTATGCATATAGAAATCCACATACATACATACATAGATTTCTGCATGTAAATGTACACGAGCATTTCTTTATAAATTGTCTACAACTTGCATTTTCATTAATTTAAATATTTTGTTAGTCACTGTGCTTTTCAATCAGCGATGTTAATTCGTAGAGAAACCTGTGGCAGCTTACGTAGTATGTGAATATATATACATACTTACATAAATATATGTGTACATAGATGTGTATGTCTGATTGTACAAGATGCTTTGTGTTTTGCGAATTTTGCTGCAATCGCAGTCTGAAGCATGTGACACCAGCTTTTGGTGGTTGCATTATTTAACTTAAAAACATACATACAAACAATCGCAAGCAATAAGTACACGTCCGAGTATGTACTACGTGACATTTTACTAATCACTTTAACAATAAATGATTCTCCATTTGCGGCGGTCACTCATCATTCTATACGAGTGTCGCTCAACAATTGCAAAATATCTGCCAAATGTTACTTTTTGATTTTCATCAATAAACTCCGTAGGTGACACTAGGTGTATATCGATAACAACTGTAAGTCGATAATCGCTACCGGATATAGTAAAATGGACTGTTTACGTACGTATTGTAGCGATTTCTTTTGAGTGAAGTGTTTTATTTATTTTTTATTCAAAATTTACGTTGATTTTGGGCACTAGGTTGGCACACATTCTCTCTCGTTTCTCTTTTTTCATGACCTTGTAATTATTGTAGTGCTAAGCCTACAGATTTTCATTCTTTTCTCTTCGGAAAGTTTGTTGTAAAATCAGTGAACTCAATTTCTGTTACAAAATATTTTTTGGGGGAAAATAAAAAATTCAGGTATTTTTTATAAAATTATTTAAAACAATTTGATTTCATATTCAAGACTTTAATTCTTCTTAAGGTAGATTTGTAAGAGGGTGAAGGGTAGATGCTACCCAGTGAAAAGAAGTCACATATATTTATATACATATATAAATATATATGTATAAATTGGTGCTTTGTAACTGCTGAAGTGATTTTCGGTCGGTTATGATATTTTTCCAACAAATGCAGGGACCTACAGAGTATTCTAAGTCGCCACGGAATGGCCGATGGATTTTTATGAGCTTGACCTTCTCTGTCGGGGGTTTTAGGTGCTAGTTGGACCAGACAGAACTCGAAACCGCGTCATCTCTTCCCTCTAGTTATTCTTTCAGTATTGCAAAATATTTTTAAGGGACCTCCTAGGCTTTCAGCGTCCTGCCATACCATGGTCCTACCACTTTTGAGATGTCATTGTCTCTCAGAGAGTTAACACTGTATGAATTCTTTTCATCTCCCCTAAGTCTGATTAGATTTGCTTCTTTGTGAATAAATTCAGTTGAGGGTTACCAATACCTGCTCTATCTAAAAAAAAAATATTTCGTTGTACCCACCCAGGTTGTCTGCCATGAAATTCGCCTCGATGTTTTTGTAATAAGCCGCGGTATCTGAGTGGTTAGCATTGCGTACTGCCATACGGAAGGCTCGGGTTCAAATTATTCTAATTGCGGTCGCCCCTCGGCAGGGAATGTCCACCCCTCTGAGTGTATTTCGGACATGAAATAAAAGCTCATCATAAAAAACCCATCAGCCGTTCGGAGCCGGCTTAGTATAAACTGTAGGTCCCTCCATTTGTTGGAAAAGGTCCAAAGTCACTTCAGCGGTTACTAAGCGCCATATATATATATATATATATATATATATAAATCTTTCGTATGACTTCCGAGACTAGAGGTCGATGGATCATCTGAACAGATTCCGTCCAATGAATCTTTGAAAATTGCTACCCAGGTTGGTGCTTGCCGATTTATTTAGAACGATTACCGTACCATACTGAAAAAAATATCCATCGCTTGGTCTAACTTGCGGGCTTACAGGGCGATGAAAGCTTTCTCTTATCTTTGGACCAAGTTTTTCTTCCAGTTGAATCTCTCTTTCTCTCCCTCTAGCGTAGTAAAATCGAATCTAATACATATTTCAGGAAATATAGCGAAGACGCTTACTCCGTTTTCGCTAGCCCAGCGTGGTACTTATCAAACGATCCTCGTCGCGTCAATAATCAATTGTTTGGTTGGAAAATAATCATAACAGCTGTTTGCTCGCCCATAAACAAACATTGTCGCCTTGCCTTGAGCCGGTCGCTGCGCGGACGGTTGGTTAATACAATAATTACTCTTAAATAAACAATGAATTTGTACTCTTAAAAACCATCAACACAAACACATGCTTACATATGTACATATATATATATATATATATATGAAGAGAGCACTGAATCGAGAATTTACGCCAACAACGGCCAAATCACCTTGCCTTGATGTGTGCGCCTATTCATATCTGTGAAATACAACACACACACACACACACACTAGCCTACAACAGTGATACAATTGACGTGTGGAGAAGTACGGAAATGTTGGCGGCATACAGATGAGTTTGGTCGCTCATCGTTGCCTATTTTATGGCAACCATTCATTAGTCACTCACACAAATGCATGCATGCACGTATGATGGTGTGTGTTTTCCTACTTTTTTCCACTCTGTTTATATGTTTTTATATATTATATTTTTGCATTTCATTTGCGGTGACTTTCTATCGGAGAGACTAGCTTGCTTGCTTGCTAGCTAGCGTACTGACTGACTGGCTGGTTGCTGACAGTTTTGTTGGTTATTGCAATCGGGGAAACATTTAATCGCTACGCGAATTTCAAGCAACACAGTTGTGTAAGCGGCAAACGTCAGTCGCAGGTGTACTATAGTATAACCACAAATAAATATATAAACTACAATAAAAGCATAGCAAATGCTATTAAAAGAAATTTCAAAGTGTTTTCAGAATAAATACATATATATAAAAAAAATTTGGCTATAAAACCACAGAAAAAAACATATAAAGAATCTGCAAGCATAAAAAACACACATTACAAAGCAGACAAAATAAAAGCTATTGAACTCGCTAAAACGCGCTGAAAATTTTACTAAATAAATAAATAACAAAAATTTTCAACAAAAATTATTTAAAGAACGCAAAAGCTAAAAAAAAAAAAATTAATACAAAATATTCATATATTTGAGACGTGAAAGAAGACAATAAAACTGGTCTGTCTGTTGTGTGCGCACCTACATAAATTCATGCATACATTGTATATACATCAACTTAAAATCCAGTTTGCAAGCCTGTGTAAATTAACATTTACGTACATACAAACATACAAAACTATATGAGTGTTGAAATACTGTAGAATTCACGTAAATTGCACGTGAACAAAAAGCGAGCAAACAAATTATAAAACCAAAATAAAAATACAGAAAATAAAAAATAAAACTCAAAAAAGTGTCACAAATCGTGCACCCAAAGTGAAAGGCTGGCTGCAGCAATTCCATTTTCAACAACTATACGGCAACCCAAAGTAGGCGAATTCAGTCAACAAAATGTGGTGCATTGTCAACCTGCCGAACGGCACACAATTAGCGGTCAAATGGGATACGAAGGCAATCGGACAGGAGTGTCTCGAAAAGGTGTGTACTTTTTTTATACCTGCATATATACATACGTGCATACATAAAATACATAAATATTATGCTTATTCCTTGTGCCCATTTCTTCCTCACAAAAAAAAGCACAGAAATGTTTACACAAATTCGCACAGACTCAGCAAAACATTTCTGCTTTACTTTATTTTTCATATGCACATATGTACTCGTATGGTAGCTAAATTTTTTGCATTCTCTGTTATTTCGCTTGTTTTCCGTATTATGTTGCACTACTGCTTCATTGCACCGCATACATATCGGTTTTCGCAATGACCTACGCAACAAACATTTGCTACATATTCGTCATTCATCGAGCGGTAGCATTAACGAAAGAAGAAGAAATGAAAACGCAAGCAGAGCTTCTTGTATAAAGCACAGTGGTGTGGCTCGAATTAATGATAAATTGCAAATTGCATTAAATTTACTTTTCACTAAAATCACTTTTTATTATTAAATGTCATATAATGCGAATTCAACACTCAACACAAGCATAGTTGCTTTAGGGCGGAATGATAATTATAATAATCGATAACTTCCGGTTTCAGAAGGAAGCAGCTACAGGTATTAGGGATCGATTATGAAGTTGTGGGCGTAGGATTTCGAAAAAAAATACTGTTTTAGTTGAAAAAAAAAATATATTAACTAATAATAGTAATAATTTGAGTTGAATATTATAGTAATTTATATCTTACATTTACGTATTAATCAATTTATGGTTTGGTGAGTAAGTGCTAAGCCATAAATCGCTTATTCGCAATGCAGGAATGCCTCTTCCTAGTTAGGTACTGCGTACCCATGTACTTATAATTTCGTAATTTAATGCTGCTTTTAAGATTTTTTTTTTATTGTTATTGTTACTCATATTATATGCGACCGCACTAACCAAGCGTATTAACATTGCTGATAATCTATTATTTCTTCATTGTTTTCTATTTTTTGCTGTACAATTCAAAGTGCAAATTTTACATTTCATTTCATTACACCTGTTTAAAGTTCAGTTTAATAAATTTAAAAAAAAATATGGCTTTGCAAAAAAAATAATCATATTTACTAGTTAACTGGTGTTTTATGGTTACACCTCTGCAAAACAAATAGCTAGTTGTTTATTAATTAGTTTATAAAGCTTATCATTTTTTATTGTTTTGCTATTTTTATATGTTTGCATGAAGAGATTTTTGTTCTTATACATAGTATAAATGGAAAATAAACAATAATTTGATAAGCTACATAGTATGCATGTACATATGTACATATGTATAAAAAGAAAAAAAATTATTAATAAATAATAAGCCGGCTTGATAACTTGAGAAATGTTTATATATATATGTATTATATTAATTTCATTAAGCGTGACTAATTTCGTATGGCCACTAGTTTCATGTTTATATGACACACTCCTTAGTGGTAACCCCGCTATGTTAGGCTAGCTTAGACCGCGACTTTTTTTATACGTCATAAGTATGATTTTCAAGAAACAGTAAGCGTACCTTGATGGTTTTATGTACATATTTACATATACATACATATGTTCAACGCTCATCCCAGTTTTCATTTTAATGCCTCCTATGAGTTGTCACAAAATATTTTCCCAGTGAGTAATCACATTAACAGTTCATAGCTTTTGCTGTGAAAGCAATGAACTTTCAACTCTAGTTTTTTATAAATTAAATTTCACTACTCGCCCTTAGTAAGTGGATATGTACTCGTATGTAAATGTTAATAAACGCAAAATAAGGTGGGTAATTATGTGTTAAAAAATAATAATAATATAAAATATCAAAAAGAACAAAAAAACATAAAATCACTTTTACTTAAAGTTTCTTTATGACTGTTTATATGCTTACATATATTTTTTATTATATAATTACTTTTCTCAAGAATTGTTTAATGTTTTTAAATTATTTTGCATGATTTTGCATAATTTTGCAAAGTTATTCTGATTTTCGTTAATGAATAAAATATATAGAATTTTAAAATTTTGTTATTATAACATTTTAATTTATTGGTAATACAGCAGGGTAAAGTGCGAAGTAGAATTTTAATCATTATTTTTTATTAGAAAAAAAAAACTTTTTTTACTTCGAAATATTTTACCACAGAGTTTATTATAAAAAAAAATATATCATTAGATTTTTCTTAAATATTTCGAAACTGTTTATTCTTACATAATTTTTACGGCCAATTTTACGCTTTTAGAAAATTAGCCTGAAGTTATTCCAAGTGGACAAAATGACCTCATCCATTTTGAATGCACTTCACTTATCAGTCACGCTCTTGCATGTAATGCACAGTTAAGTAGACAAAAAGCTAATGTAATTTTTAAATTGTCGTAAAAAAAATAGCTTTGAGTAGTTCGAGCCTAAATACTTCAAAACACGATACCCTTAATTTAATAAACTGCGCAATACATACTATAACAAATGCAATTATTATCGCTCAGATATTATTATATGTATACGCGTATTGTACTCGTATTTTTATGGCAAAATAAAAAAAAAATAAAACAAAAAATATTTTAATTAACTTTACAACCATATTTGGTTAAGTAATAATTTTGCACGCCGTCGATGTACTCTACATGTGTTATGGGTTTATTGAACGCAGTGGGGGAAAAGTGTACTAAATATTATTATACACACAAAAAAAATACATATATTTATATCATATATTGAAATGATTGTAAAAAACATAAATTCTTCTGGGCGTATCTTGCACCATAAAATGGTTATTATTATAAAAAAAAGAGTTATATCTATGAATCGTGTTAATAACAAAATATAGTAAATAATCTTTATAAATTTCACATTACAACATCGTAGATTTTACAAATAATTACAACAACAATTTTTTTTAAATTTTTTTTTTGGTAAACGCTGATAGCAATTATACTTTGCCTGGCAATTTCATAAAATTAAATTATTAACTGCTTATTGACTTTCTTTACACATACTGCTAAACACGTAGTACCGTTAAATTCTTATCAAGTTCTTAGGTTATTAAAAAAATGGTATTGCTCTATATGTTTACGGCCATTTCATACGAATATATGTACATACAAGTGTATGTGCACAGAGACTTAAGCACTTATTTACTTGTCCATAAAAGCCGTAAAGTACTTTATTTACGCCTACACTGGCTGTGAAACTGATAACCAATTCGACTTTGTACCCACTGCCACTTTCACGATTTATAACGAACCTTTAATTTGGCACGGTTATCAGTAAAAAAAGTCAATTACCTGTAAACTACTAATTGCGCCAATTATTGTGTTATTTTGCGGAAAGAAATATTTCAAAACAATAACATTAATCATTTTGAAAGGCTTAATAAAAATAATAACTAGCTTAATTATCAAATTTGAAAAAAGAAATGCTCATACAAAATTTCTAAGAGAATAAACTAGAAAATAGCGCAATTAAGAGATTATCACTCTTGAGCCGTTAATCAGCATTGTATTTATACTTTGCCTTACCTCACTTACTTTTCCTTATAACGCAGTATTGATAATACGAAGCCTAAAGCTACCGATTACGGTGCTTACCTTGCACAGTATAATTAGCCAATTTGTTTTTATAAAACGCTCTTATCGCTCTGACCAATAAGGGTACATTGGCATTTAGACACCTGCAGGTTTGCATAACACGCTTACACACTGCGTTGATTTTGACATTTATGATTTTTGTGAATCACAAAGTTTAAAATAATGTAAGATTTACAGTTACAGTTAGTTGCACTTTGATCAGCGACTTGCAATTTTTTAATAATAACAGAAGTGCGAAACTAAAAAACAATCCTTTTACATATTAGAAAAAAGTACATAACTTTTATCACACTTGTTTCCTCAACCCAAAAGCTGTCCTTAAAATGCTTTTGTTTTAACAGTATTTATCGCACTTCTGATTTTAAGCGTTGGCTTTTTAACACATCGTCACTTCTTTAATTTAAATCATTCTTACTATTTAAGAAAAAAAAGCACGTGCTTCACATTAACCAAAAACTCCGATACTAATTTCTACCGATAAATCGATTTTCGATTATTAAGTATGGTACGCACGTGCTTTTGCTAATTTGATTGCTATGAATTCTCACAAGCCACACAGTCCTATTTGGACTAAAAGTTCATCAATTTTTCAATTCGAGTACAAAGGTAGAGAATTTATTTGCAATTAAAATGCGAATATAGTTGTTTTCTTGATATTTAAATTTTTTGTTTTTATACCTGTTTGTTGTTTTCAAAAATACACTACAATTTCGAAAAACCAAAGCAAAATGAATTAATGAACAATCTAAAATTGCACAATACGACTTTAGCAAAGCAAGGAAATTAATGGAAGCAGAGATTGTTTTGTACTTTAAAGTAGGGGCTTGTTTGCTATTACGTCAATACGCTTTTCCTAGGCCGATTGTTGCCAGCCGTCATGTAATATTATTAAAAAAAATGTAAGGAATATTTTTTAAAGGTCATGTAGAGAGAAAAAAGACTGCAAAACAAATATTATCGCTTTAAGAAAAATAATTTAAAATATAATATTGTTTTTTTTTTAATTTACATTAACTGCACTAAGAAAAATTTTAAATAAATAAGCATACAGATGTGTGCGTAAAAAAATTATATATAAAATATTTCTTTCATCTTATTCATAGACATAATTAACGCAATAAACAGCATAACAAATTATTATACAATTAAGAAATTAATTAATAATTTTTTTTTTGTCTCACTTAAAACGTGACTTAAAGCATGTGAGTAAGTTTAATGGGAGTGTACTTACGCCCTTGTGTGAGAATTTGCGTGGTACATATGTACATATTGTAATCATAGTTGCACCGGCCAAATGGGTTTGCTCTCATTAATTAAGTAAAATATAATAGCAAATTGTGCTGATAAGCTTAGAGAAAAAATACATACATACAAATTTACATATAAGTATAATTTAAACAAGTAAGCAAATGGAAGCAACAGTTGCTATATGTTGATTAAAACG